CTCTGTTCTCTGCCACCAGACAATAGCACCTTAAGTGATTATTGGTCTTATGACTGTCCTGTAGAGCCATGGGTATAATCTTTGGTGATAGTCCCCAGCTTTTGCCGAGTAGCCGTTTGCATTGGCAGAAGACAATGCAGGCTTCGTTTGATTTTCATCGAGGAGCTAAATCCAAAGTTTACTGTCCAGTATAACTATTAGGTATTTGACCTCTTTGTTAAGAGCTAGTTGCGTTCCAAATAGCTTGGGAAGTCTGAGATTTCCTAGACTACGTATGTTTGTGAACATAATCATCTCTGTTTTCGATGGGTTTACACACCGCTGTTTAACAATCTTCAGTGCAAGTCCATTCTGATTGCATGTAACGCTCTCAAAGGGAACACTGATATAGATAGTCAGATCATCTGCATAGCCTATTGTGAGGACCGTAGATGGTCATTGAGTTTTGTAATGAGTTCATCCACAAGTATGTTCCATAGAAGGGGAGAGAGTACACCGCCCTGAGGGCATCCTCTAGCAACCTCCCCTCTAGTCACTTGCTCTCAGTAAATTGAATATCTCTATGTCATAGCATGCTGTGGATCCACCCTGAGATTGTGGAATCAACACCATGTCTAGAAAGATCTTGGCTAATACTGGTGAAATTGGTTTTGTCAAAGGCACCCTCGATATCGATGAAGGTGGCCAATGTTGACCTTTTGTGTTTTAAATTGCCTTCTATATGTAATACAACTCGATGTAGAGTAGATTCTCTTGATTTTCCCATCCAGTATGCATGTCGATTGTGGTGTAAGGAGTGACTGAATAATGCAGTGCTCCTAACTTTCCAATTAGCCTCTCGAGAACCTTTTACAGGAAGGACGTGAGACTGATAGGTCCGTGTGATTTGGGTTGTGTGTAGTCTCCTTTACCAGATTTGGGGATGCAGAGTACTTTAACTTCTCTCCATTTCAAGGGGATGTAATGGTGCGCCAGGCAGCCTCTGTAATTTTTTACAAGGTGATGTACTAGTATCACATCACACCATCTCAGTAGGCGTGGGAAGATACCATCTAGTCCTGGAGCCTTGAATGGCAGGAAGCTGTTAATTGCCCATCTGAGTTTATCACGGTTGACAACTTTGCGGGCCGTGTCAAAGTCTATATCGTCTGGTGTTTTTTTCCCACTTGTCTTCCCATGTTTCCATCATATCTGTTATGCGACATCCAGGGAAGTGCGTTTTCAAGAACAGCTCTGAGACTTCCGAGTCTGTTTTGGTATACTCACCATCAGGCTTCTTCAGTGAGCCAAGATTGTGTTCGCCTCTGCTACACAATATGTTATTGACTCTGTTGGCCTGGTTGTTGTTTTCTATATTGGTACAGGAGCTTCTCCAGTACTCAGTTTTCCTGGTTCTCATTCGCTTCTTATATTTATGCCGGGCCTGTGTATAGGCATCCCTGAGTTGGTCTAGTCGGGTGTTTTTTGCTTTATTGAACAACTTTCTCACCTTACGACGTAGTCTTTCAACTTTCTCACCTTACGACGTAGTCTTTCCAGTTCCGGTCCACACCACTGGTGTCTGTTCTGTGGTCCAGTTCTGGGTGTAGAAAGTGGGCATGTTTGTTCAAAGCAATTGGTCAGTGTTTGTGTAAGACTGATAACATGGCTGTCAATGTCCGTAACAGTCCCCGTAGCATATGTTCAGTCAATGCCTCCCAGTTTTTCTCATACCGTTTCCGGTCCATCTTACGGGGATTCCGTCGGGGATCGGGTGGCTTAAGATTCCTTTCAAAATTGAATTTGATCCAGCGATGGTCCGAGCACGATGCTTCGCTCGAAACATGCTAGTTCGAGATGTGTTGCGATGCGTGCTCACTCGATAAAGTTAGATCAATGATAGTTTGGGCTCTGGATGTAACAAATGTCGGCTTCGAGCCTATGTTGATAATGTTCAACTTAGTTGGTAGTAGGAACGATACAAATTCTCTTGATGTCCTCCGCCTGCACCTTGTTAAGGTCAGGGTATGGCTCCAGCATGACCGCGACGCAAAGGTCATTTCCCTTTAGCGCGTCGGAGTAGCTGACGGAGCTGGTATTTGGCAGCTGTTTCCTCCGCTTGCCATTACTCTGAGGAGTATAGGACTCGTCCGGCCGGTTCCATTTGGCGGGCCTCGCGTCGCACGAAAGTTTCCCTTCGTGTTTTCCTCGTCCCGCTCGTTTTTCCTGTCCAGGGTGACCCTGCCTTGGTACTAATTCAGCTGCCGGCGTCTTAGCAGGTAGCGCCCCCGTAGGAGTACATTTCCCTTTTCGAGTCTGTCTGGACTGGTTCGGACTGTGCCATCCCCCTTACGGGTCCCGCACACGATACAAACATGCGGGTGGTTGCCCTCCCCTCACCCTCAGTCTCTGTTGATCATGAGGCCGCAGGCACCAACCACTTAGTGTCCGCAGAAGGTAAAGATAGGAAGGAAGTGGAACACCCAAACCCGTTAAATAGTATTATTGCTATTTCAAAACTCTGTAAATCCGAAACATAACTAAGTATCTGTTTATTTATTTATTTTATTGAAAATGTTTGTTGTTAGTCGCCATCAGTCAAAATAATTATTATGGTCTAATAATTCTTCCTAAGTAAAGGATTTCACTTTTTAATTTATTTTCTTTTGATTAAAATGTTATTACTAAGTATACAATTACCTGCTGAACACTTAGGTAATATTTATAATAGTGCACAAAGCCGGTAAAGGTTTCTGTGCTACGGCCGTAAGTAGGGTACAGTCTGAAAATAATTACGCATAGAAACCGAGAACACGCACGAAATTTGAGGTGAGCAAAAATATGCCATTTTGGCACAGTGGACGAATGGCGTCAGTGCTCAAGGTCAAATTGTAGTGCTAACAGCTCTCGTAATTTTAATAGATTAATACAAAATTACTGTTTGTGCAATTAACGGGTGCCACAGTGAGAGTTCGACCTTCAATGCCAACTTGCCTTCGATGTCTGCATTTAAATATTTCTTATGCAAATTCCTGACCTGCCTACTTTTCTGTGATGCCGATGTTTTCAACTGTTCTTTATGTTGGTGTTTGTCGCCAACTATTATAAAAATGTTTTGCTTGTCTCACCATGCCTACTATTTGTACAGTCAAATCAACAAGTTTTTAACTTTATAGATTTATACAAAGAATTAAAAAAAAAGTAAAAAAAACCCTACATGACATAGTATGCTTGTATATGTATGCATATATGTGCGCCTGTGTATGCGCCTGTGCGCGCACGTGATTGCGCGCCTTTGTGTGTATGTGTGTGTGTCGGTATATGTCTGTGTTTCTGTGTGTGTATCTTTGTGTATGTGTACTTGTTTGTTAAAAAATGGTTTTATAAATTTTGATATTTTTCCTAAATTAAAAAAATGCTTATTGTATAGGTTGGTAATGTACTTCACTTGCACTAATAAAATAAATTTGATTTTAATTCGGTGGAATAGTCAAATTGAACGCACTTAAGACTATTCTTTAGTTTTACTAGATAGGTGATGTTTTTAGCAACTTTTAATAAACCAAATATTATTTAATACATCATTGAAATATATTTATTGGGTAATTGATTTTTTTTTTGTAAATTTACATTGTACGTAGAAAACACCCAAACTTTACTACTAATATTTACAAAACGTACAAATATTTGGTCCGACCCGGGAATCGAACCCGAGATCTCTTCATAGCAGTCGCATATGCTACCCCTGCATCATCTATGCTGTCATAATAAATTTTAATGGGTATAAAGTATACATTTATGGAAGATGTAATCTATGTCGGATCACTATAATAACTTAAAAACGATGTCTACTATTTAACTTTTTTAATGTTTCGTATAAAGTATATATATTACATTATATATATTATTTAAGTATTTATATTACTTATTTCAGATTTTAATCCATAAAATTAAAAAAGAATTTCCTTTTTGTCAGTGCAGAGGGGTTTCTGGAGGATTCGTTTTAAGGAGTTAAGGAAGTAGCAGTTCCAATTTCCCTACGTCGTTTCCCTGTCGCCTGTAAATATGTAGCTCAAACTTGACGGTTTTTTGATATGAAACTATCCTTCTATGCGTCATTATTCTAAAGGTACATACGGTATAGTATAAAAAGTAACACTTTGATCACGTAGTCAAAAGAGTAATCTATAGTCTTCGATAAAATAAACTACGCTCTATTTGTTTGATCGAAGTCTATAGTAATCTGATGCTTAACAAAAGCAGAAAACCACCGCTTTATAGAAACTAAAGAAATCTCTTATCAACATTGTCGCAAGTCATAATTTCATGGCTATTTGCTGTGATCAGATAAGTAGTCAAGATATAATTGTGTGATGGATTATCACTGGGTCTGGATGTAGGTAATTAATCTAAAATGTATGTATAGTATAATAGTATTTAATCAGCAGTTTGGTTACCATAGTACAGGCTCTGCATAGTTTGGGATCAGATAGCCATGTGTGAGATGTGTGAAGTTATTATTATTATTTTGAACTTTGAACTGTCATGATTTGTGCGTAGGCGGCCTCTGTACATGATACTTAAGTGAATAAGCTACAAAAATTTAAACTTATCGATGAATAATATGTAATAGTAATTTATAATAAAAACCTAACCTAACCTCCTTTATAAGGAGAGGCCTGTGTCCAGCAGTGGACTGTTATAGGCTGTTGATGATGATGATGATGATGATGATGATGAATTTATAATAAATAATGAGGCTAATAATATTTAGTACTTACGTATGTCTCCATTTTAATTGTGAAATATTAAGCATCTATAGCGATTCATTTTAACCTGGTCTAGTATACCTTTATCCCTTTACCCATACATTAAGAATATTACTTTAGTGATACTTAAAGTCTATGCCTTTGCTGTCAGTTGTCTTGTTCACAAAATGTATACTTATTTAAACCCATTAAAATACAGCTAAATACTGAAATGTAACAGCACTTAGTAAAAAGATATAGCTGACATAAGCCATGGGTAAGTATCCAAATAATCAATGACACCAGCCTTTTAGAAAGTTTCTATAGGCTCTATTTATACCTAAGTAGCCCTTATCCGGTAAATATGTAATTAGGTACCTTGGAAAGAATCTAAAGATTAGTGTTGTGTTTTGACTAGGACTTCTTGATATCATATTATGATCTTAATTTTGTTTCTATGGAAAGTATTCTGGTTATAACTTTTTTAGGGTAAGTACTCGTATAGTCAGAAGGAACAATAGTTAAACTATGGTACTCTTTAGAAGAATGAAGGGGTCATGTGGCAAAGGACGAAGAAGAAAAAGTACAACTTTTGCCGCAGTGATAATATCATTTAAGCATTATGCGTACTTGGAAACCCTGGACATACGGACATTTGCATCCAAAGACTACCGCAGTTGATCGTTGATGTACTTGTCTCATGTAGTCAATGGCGGCGTCAGTGATTTTGAGTAATTTTGCCCTTTAACAAAAACTAGCACCAGACTTCATGAATATCAAGAACTCAAACTTTCGCCTCTTCCCAAACCTTAGTTTATTACTCTTACTGCCACTAACACCGTAATTGCCATTATGACGGCTCAAGACCAGAATAGGAGGAGTAGGAGTAGGAGGAGCCTTGGCTCTTTTATTTATATTCTTTTCATCCCCTAAGATGTTGCACAGGCAAGTGCTTATCTGGACAAAGATAATCAAATCCATTTACTACTATTATCCCTTTGCCTATCCATCACCATTGGATATATTGCGACGGAGTATGTGGTCGAAATATAAGTCACTCCTCCTACCTACTAAAATATATATTTAGATAGATAGATAAATACTTTATTTGTACACCAGGGTTTTACAGACATTATAAAGTAATTAACTACAGATGTAATGTACAAAGAGCGGCCTTATCGCGTAGTGCAATTTCTTCCAGGCAACCTTTGGATGGATTCATTTTGAACTGGTGATAGGTATACAGAAATTAGAGAAATAAATATTTATTATTGAAAAGACAACTCCCGCACTAGGAATAGATCCTGTGTCGCGGGGGTCTTTACAAACATACATAAAACGAACACAAAGAACACCCGGACTCAGAACGACAATTTGTAGATCGCACAAAGTGACGTCCCAAATGGGGATCGAACCCACAACACTCAGCGTAGTAGGAAACGGCGTACGACCGCTTAAACCACAACGCCACCCTTGCAGTCAATATTTAATATGTTACACAGAAGAAACAAAGTTTATTGCAGATTTTATGTTACTGCAAAAAAAAAGTGATAAAGTATTGTGTTTTTAAAAGTATGCGTGATTGAATACTTTAATTAATACATTAATCAATGTTTATTAATGAGAGTCAAATACGTAAATTAGCAAGAATTGGCCAGAGTTTTTTATATATGTTTACCTATTTAAAGTGCTTCTATTTTTAAGTAAAGGACAGTTGAATTAAAAATCATTATCAGATTTTCGAAGTCCACAGCTTTACGAAGGTGTCCCCCAAGGAGTGCTAACTGCAAACTATCCCGGTCTTGGGGATTCCGCATCCATCCGTTGTGGCTGGCAATCATCAGACCGTCTATCGGGAGAACTAAAAATACAGTTCTGAATTAAGTTCAACCTTTATTTGTTTCAGCGTCAGGAGGATCCGTCCCTAGGAGTATAAAGCCATGTGTCTCGGCACCTGCTTGCAGCACACATAAATGCAGGCACAAACCAGATCCTTGCCCAAACCCTGAAAAATGTTTCCAAAAATCTAAAAAAAAAACGGTTAGATGTCCTAGTGCCATGGCAGTTGTCACTCCCCGCGGTTTGGATTGTAGTTGCACTCCTGAATTTAGTAAGTACAACCGAAGTAGAAAACCCGGCGAAAAAAAAAGGTCGAAGACGCCATACAGAAAGAGAGTAGCTAAAATGTACAGGAAACGGTCTACTATAAATAAATTCCCACGGCAGAAACGCTGTGCTATTTTATAGAATGATGAACATATTTAAAAGAAAATTATGTTTCTTAGTCATATTTAAGTATACATACCTTTTGATGCTACAAATATACAGACCGATACCGTAATAGAGCCTTTGTTTTACTTAATTAACACCTGCCCATTTTAATATATAAGTAAGTCACTACGGGTACCTACTTATAATTTTTAAGAGCAAACTAATAAAAAAATTGAAAAACGAAACAAAAAACCCGACTGCGTGTATTGTGTATGTATGTGTATATTTTCTTATACCCAGTGTCACACTCACAATTAAGACGAATCTAACGACTCCGCCCAAGCCAAAATCCATAAAGCATTTTAGACTTCAGAGCGTTCCAAAGAAAGATACATACATACATAGACTCGAAAACAAAACCCTTCTTCTGAGACAGACGGGTAAAAAAGAAGTCCGACACGTTTCAGGAGATTTGAACTGTGAACAATTTCAATTTAATATTGAATTAATGAAAAATATTGAATTTGATATGTAGTATTAATGGTTATGTAGTATTAAATTAACACAACTTAATTAGTCCAATTTTAAGCTAAAGAGGTTTCAATTCTTTTCTTTCAATTTTTGAAAACTGACAGTCGTGTATCCTGTATGTAAATGATTATTTCGCAAGTTTTTGACAGAAATAGTAAGTTATTTAAAAATATAAATCTCCTTGGATGCTCTAAACTTTAGACAGGTCCTCGAATCTACTATCAATCATTACAAAATAAGTGATCATAGAGAGGAAAAGAAGTAATAGAAAGTAGTTGCTCTTGCGATATCACCCACGTTGGATCTAGAAAATACATTTTTGCCCCTCGCTTGGATTAATTAGTTCAGGTACTCTTACTTATCTGGTCTTTTGTAAATATTTTTCAGCAATTTGCCCTTTGTTGCACATTTAGGAAAAAACCTGACTTATATTAGAAATACGAGTTTATTAGATTCGTTTCACGCCTCAACTATTCCGGCTGAGTAGTCGAAAAGTTTTAAATGTCGGCTACACTATTTGCTTATCTGTACTGTTAGTGTCACGTTAGTGTCATGACTGATGATGGGGTATATAATATATATGTTCTGTGCTGATGACTGTCATGTCAAGTGTCAATTTAAAGCTTCTCTTCAGGCCTTTTTTTTTAAATATTATATTAAATTTCTTTTACACTAAATTAGATAACAAATTATTCTACACGAAGGAGGCGTTTGCAACAATTGAAAATAGACGAAGTACAGAGAGAAATATACCTTGCGATCCTGCCTAGAGTTAGCTAGAGTTAAGCAAACTGTCTGATTTCAATTTTGAGAGGAATATTTAAGCTTTTATGTAAACGAGATCAATGTATTGTTCATAAAGTAATTTAATCATGGACCTAAGACAGGAAGAGTCTAAAACAATTAAAGCGATTGGTACAGATACTGTCCACAAAATTTGTTCTGGCCAGGTAAATATACATATGTATCGCATTATTTCTTATATTATTAATTAATTTCTCCTGCGCTAATTTACGATTATTATCAAGTTTTAATTGTACCCTTAATAACTATGGCTGGTTTTTTAAGGTGGTGGTAAGTTTAGCAGTGGCAGTAAAAGAACTTGTTGAAAATTCGCTTGATGCAAGTGCTACCACCATTGACATAAGATTTAAAAATTATGGTATAGATTTGATAGAAGTATCTGATAATGGTACTGGAGTCACAGAAGATAACTTTGCTGCTTTGGGTAAGATCACAATTAGAACTTATGCTGAGCCTACTGCTGCACCTGTATTAAGCCAGATCAGTTTATTTATTTGGTCTCAGAGTCTGCTGATCAAATTTGTAAAGTTCCTATAAATTATTACTACTTGTTTATTGTTAAATATACCAAAATCTATATAAGGAGAATTATGAGTTCCCAGTATCTATATGAACCTCTGTAATTTATATTACAGCTTTAAAGTATCATACTTCAAAATTAAGTGAGTACTCTGACTTGCTTGGAGTTTCCAGTTTTGGTTTCAGAGGAGAGGCATTAAGTTCACTATGTGCTTTAGCAAATCTCACTATTACTACTAGGCACAAATCAGTGGAATATGGTAAGAATTTACATTCATACTTATTTGGCAAAATATGGAGCTTAAAACTACATTTACTACTTTTTTCTTTTAATGTGTTACTGCTATCTGTGCAATGTAGATGAGTGATATTAATTTTAACACTCTTTTTTTTTAACATTTCTACAATTACTTAAAACTTCATTAAAGTATCAACAAGAATTTAATATATTTAAATTTAAGTATATTTAATTCAATTGTGTATACTTTTTTTCAGCTACAAAAATTGAATATGATCACAAAGGCAATATAACTAAAAAGACGCCATGTTCAAGACAAATTGGCTCAACTGTTACCTTGACAAACCTATTTTCTTCATTGCCTGTAAGACAAAAAGAGTTCCATAAAAATGCAAAGAGAGAATTTAACAAAATGACCCAATTGCTGTATGCATACTGTCTGATTTCAACAGAAGTAAAGTAAGTAAAAGTTGACTTAAAGAATGAATACATTCTAAATGCGTATTTTCTAATTTATTATAATGAATTACAGAATTACTTGTAGCAATCAAACAGGTTCTAATTCGAAATCTATAGTAGTTGCAACCCAAGGATCACCATTGTATAAAGACAATATAGCCAGTGTCTTTGGTATAAAACAGTTACAAACCTTATTGGAAATAAAACCTGAGTATGTCACAAATATAAAAGAAAATATTTTTAAAGGGTTGTCAGGGGATGTTGCACAAACTGGTGAGAATGAAGAAATTGAGGATGTAGAAATTAATTTATCTGAAGACTCCAATGATGCAGAAAAGGCAGATTCTGTTAGTAGTTCACATAACTCACAAGGTTATAAAAATTTTGCTAAACCTGCAGAATTAACAGGCTTTATATCATCATGTGCTCACGGTAGTGGGCGCTCTAGTACTGATAGACAATTTTATTTCATTAATTCAAGACCTTGTGAACCAACCAAATTAATGAAATTGGTTAATGAAATATACAGGCAGTACAATCCTAATCAATATCCTTTTGTCTTTTTAAATGTTGATTTAGAAAAGACTTCAGTTGACGTAAATGTTACCCCTGATAAACGTAAAGTATTCCTTACCAAAGAAAAAGTTATATTAGACATATTGAAAAACTCTCTATTGAAATTATTTGAAGATATACCCAGGACATTAAAAGTTGATAGTTCTTTACATTCCTGTAACAAAGAACAAAATATTGTTAAATCAAATATTGAACAGCCAAGAATATTTAATTCGTTTCTACAACAATTCAAAAATAAAAATAAACAAACCTCTGAAGAAAAATTAACTGTTATAGAAGAGCCAAGCAAAAGTGAATTAAAAAGGAAATCTACCACAATGTTAGATTTTCTTTCATCTAAGACAATGAAGATTACAGGTAACGAGGAGCACACAGAAATATCAGAAGAGGTTACTATTAATTGTGTAGAAGATTTAAATAATAAATCCACAGATCAATCAACTTTTGCTAGCGATGAAAATGATTGTCAACTTGGAGACTTTAACGAAAATGTAGAATTCACCGAAGATGCAAAATTATCCACAAAAAATGATCTGGAAAATGATAAAAATAATATTTTGTACTTAGATTATACAAATACTTTGCCAACAACTCAAATAAGAAATGTGGATGATATTGTAATTGATAAACAACACACAATATATTGCAAACCTAAACTAGATAAATGTGAGATAGTAAAGTCGCCAAAGGAGAAAAAGTCTAAGACAGTAACAGACACAGAAGATTTAGGAAAGGGTCATAGGAGATCAGTAACACTAAGAACTTCATTTGATCATATTAAAGCATTAACAACTATATACAATACAGAGAAAAAAGAATATGTTCCGAATAGGGTTAAGTTTAAAAGTGAAATAAATCCAGTATTCAATAAGAAATGTGAGGAAGAATTAAGTAGAGAAATATCGAAAGACTCGTTTAGGCAAATGAAAGTTGTCGGGCAATTTAATTTAGGTTTCATTATAACGCGATTAGAAGATGATCTCTTTATTATTGACCAACATGCTACGGACGAAATTTACAATTTTGAAACATTACAAAAGACTACGGAATTGACGAGTCAAAAGCTAGTTGTGTAAGTTTTAACACCTAACAATTAATTGTAATTATTTTTAAATATATTCTCTGAAATACTAATCAAAATACGAAATACTTCTAGACCTCAGCAACTAGAACTAACTGGAGTCAATGAACAAATTTTAATGGATAATCTAGATGTCTTTAAAAAGAATGGATTCACTTTTGAAATTAACGAGGAAGCTCTACCCACTAAAAGAGTGAAACTGATTACAATACCTATGTCAAAAAATTGGATTTTTGGCAAAGAAGATATTGACGAATTGTTGTTTATTTTAAGAGTAAGTGTTAGATAGGTAGTAGTTAGCTTAACTTATGCAGTATCAACAGTTACCATGCGCATAACATCTCCATTTCGTGTCGTGCTCTGCCACAGAGCCACCATGATGAATCCCGATCAACTATATCTTAAAATAATGTACGTCAAACGTACATAATATACTTAGGGCCACTATGGCTGTACGGTACGTGCTGTTTTTTTATGAAAACTGATGTAAGAATACTGCTTATTGCGTACCATGTTGTAAAATATAATTATTAAAATGTGGTTATGATTATTTTCACTTTACTGTAGTTTTGGGTGAACATTTTCTTAAATGATCTGATTAAATGATTTTTTTCAATGAAAGAAAAAACGTAATGTAGAACAAAATATATTTATTGTCTGACATATCATAACCTTCGTTGCTTAAGTGAAACTTCTAATTTTTTTGTTTTAATAAAAGAAAAATAGCAATTAGAAACAAGCTTTTCGAACGGTGAACACAAATTGGAATACACCTTATATTCGTGACATTCTTAACTCGTACATTCGAGTTAAGAATCATGTTGTAGTGCGTTCCCATCTACTAATCTTCAAACGCTGGCTTTTACTGAAAATGGATGTAAGGTGTAGCGTACCTAATTTGTGTTTATGATTTAAAAAGGTTGTTTGTAATCGTTATCAGATTAAAATAAAAACATAAAAAGTAAAAATTCGAAGTATCGCTTGCAGCGAAGGTTATGTCATACAATAAAAATATATTTTGTTCTCAATTTAATGTTTTCAATTAAATTCAAAAGCAGATCATTTAAAAAAATGCTAACACAAAACAACAAGGAGTTTTCTATGAAAATTACAGTAAAGTGAAAATAATGTAAACCAAATCTTAACAATGATATTTTACAACACGTACGCAAGAAGTACATCAAATTTCGTTAAAAAAAGTAGCTTTTACTTGTCCTGAGTACGTGCTTTGAGTGATTCTGCTAGGGAGTATATTCCACAGCAGAGCCATAAACGATGCTTTTTATTTTGTTACCTACAATACGTACAGATATAATGGCCCTAACTACAGTCAAAGGGTCATAAATGCAGTTGCAGCACGCCGGTTCTGTGCCTATCTTTGTGATGTTTCAATGCACACACACACATATTATTACCAGATAATACAGACGTATAATGTTGGTTCGTCACATGCATGAGTGCACAACACTATGTGCCTAGACACCTATTTATACGTTTTCTTCGTATTGAACTTCCAGAATCAGAACTTATTTGAAAGCGATGATAAAACTCAACACAGTAGTCATTAGAACCAGTGGCATAATAGTAAGATTAGCTTAGTTCCACACCTGATGACGAGTGGCGACTGTTCGAGCATCAGTGCCTGAACACTTTCTGAACTTTTTGTTTTCATGTCGGAATATATATTTTTTAACTCTGTTACTTTAAAATGACTGCAGTTTACGGAAGAAAAAGGTATAATATGTAATTTAATACAAAAAAAAGTATTTTTCATAAGATAATTTATTTATATTATTATCAACCTTTAAAAGACACTAAACATGAAATTAACCACATTTAAGTTTAATATTTTCATAAACTATTTTGGTTGCCTATATAATTTGTTCTTGTTGTTTATAGAGGTTTAGTTTAATTTGTTCATTTTCTCAAGGACAAGAAGATTGAAACTAAACCTCCGTATTACAATCACAAACTAGCTTATTACTATTACATCCAGCGCATCCCCATAAAGTAACCTTAACATTCGAATATTGATGAGATTGAAACCATTCACTTATAATACCAGCACGGTATATCGCACAGTTATCTTAAATTAAATAAGTTCACTCAATTCTTCCACGGGATAAACACGTAGCACACAGCACAGTAGGTAGCTTTATGTCGTTCGAAACCTCGACGTAATTGAAGTCTAGTTGGTTTGGAATCAAACCACCTCAGGGAGGTGTTAGACGCTAGCTTGCCGACCGAGCGTTTCCCTGAGTGCTGGAAGAACGGGCAGCTGGTCCTGTTAATGTCCTGATTCGATTGCGGTCTATCGTGTTGCTGGACGAGGCGGGTAAATTGTTTGGGAGGGTACTCTCCGCCCGCATCGTCCGCCATCTCTACGAGGCCCCCTGATCTGTAGGACTCCCAATTCTGTTTTCGAGCGGGGCGTTCGACGGTTAGCGCTGTGCTGCGCCTCAGGGCCGTGACCGAAGAGGCGGTGAACTGTGGCGGCGTGAGCGTGTCATTGGACATCGCCAACGCATTCAATAATTTGCCATTCAGCTGCATCAGGGAAGCACTCCACTATCATGGGGTGCCAAAGTACCTGAGGCGGCTAGTGGCAGACTATTTAGAGGAGCGTACCGTTGTGTACGAGGACCGAGATGCTAATATGAGGTGTCGGCCCATGACGTGCGGTGTTCCACAGGGGTCTGTTCTTGGACCCCTCCTGTGGATCTTCCCTCTGGGCTGGTTGTAATTTGTTACGCCTCAATCGTAGTCAACTCGGTCCTCGTTCCAGTCCCGTAGAGGATCAGGCCCAGATTTTTCATCTGGGCCTGATCCTCGACTGGAGGTGGCTCTTCTACGAGCACTTCCGACAGCTTGCTCCAAAGGTGGTCGGCGCTGCGTCTGCCCTTAGGCGACTTTTACCCAATTTGGGTGGACCCAGCGTGGCAACGAGACGGCTGTACACGGGGGTGGTCCGGTCAATGGCACTGTACGGTGCATCGGTGTGGGCGGCGTCTCTGAACGCTAAGAATAGGGCACGCCTCTGGCGCCCTCAGAGGATATTGGCGGTTAGAGCCATACGCGGTTACCGCACCGTTTCAACGCAGGCGGCGTGCGCATTGGCCGGGGAGTACCCCCCCGTGGGATTTGAAGGCGCAACTGCTCGCCGAAGTAAATCGGCGGACAGCTGAGTTCCGGGCGGATAGTAGCAGTCAGTCAGGGTCAAATCTACCCCTATTGATTAACACAAGTTCTTATTTAAATTAATTTGAAACTTTCAAGATGCGTATCATTGTTGTACTTTAAAAAAGCTCAATAAGTCGATAAGCTTGCAGTAGTTTAGGTAATGGGTTTTGAGGAATCAGTGCATTTAAAAAAAGGGCTCTCTTGGGCCAAAAATAGTTAAGGATTCCCTGCACTACATAGTTATGCAATCTTCTGTGTATTTGTAAAAGGTCAATATGTAAATTATAAACCAAGTGCTTACTATTTCTGACAAGAATATAGATGATGTATACCTTCATTATATTGTATGTTTGGTACAAATATTATATATATTTAAGTGTATATATATATATATATATATATATATATATATATATATATACATACAAGACCTACTTAAAAAGTGGTAAATTAAATTAAAAACATTAAAGAATATTCACTTTCTAGGAATCGCCTTTGGAATACTGCAGGCCAAGCAGAGTAAGAGCAATGTTCGCATCAAGAGCTTGTCGTAAATCTGTTATGATCGGCACAGCTTTGAGCAAGACTGATATGAAGAAGCTTGTTGATCATATGGCTGAACTAGAAAAACCTTGGGTAAGACTTCTGTAAACCAGGCAGAATCAAGAATACTTCTACTTAGTATCCAACTCTTATAGCGTAATCATATTTTCATTGTATGAATTTTGGTTTCGGTGAGAAATAAACGATATTATTATTATAACTAACTGTAATTGGTACAATATTAACACCTGCTTCTGCTCCCCAGACCTCAATAAACTAAATAGCAACTTTGTAGTAGGGACTATCTATACTTCACGAGTTTCATGTTTTTTTCCTTTGCTAGTGTTGAGAACCGTATCTGTAACCTCCAGGTTTCCACTCCTGAACTAAGGAGTGGAAACCTGCAAAAAAACGGCCAACACCTTTTGCCATAACATGATATATATTTGATTATAATAAGCATTGGAATAGTAAACTTGTTATTGTTTTATTTTCAGAATTGTCCGCACGGCAGACCGACAATCCGACATTTGGTCAATTTGGCTATGATTCATACTAAATCCCAATTTGCTACTTAACATTTTTGTATTATATTTTTTAATTCTAAAATCTTATAAATCAAGGTGCCTAATTTAGTTGTGTGATACAATTTATTAAATGAAACTGCAAACTGATTTTCTTATTTTATTTCATACACTAATTGTTTTGAATACGTTAAAACCAGTGTGCGCAGTAGTTATCATGACGCCTGGAATTTGTCTGTGCCAGTGTAATTCTTTTATATCACTTTGTCCTTGGTGGATGAATAGAAGCTGAGGTGGCAAGTTCTGCAATAAGTAATAAACATATTTATTTATAAGCTTATAAGAGACAAACTGATCATTAGAATAGAGAATAGATTTATTTTACACGTGCCAAACCGCATCTATCGCGATTAGACCAAGCGCAGTGTAGGATCGAGCCAACGTTAAAAAAAAAACTCTCGCACTAGGAACATACCGCGGGGCACTTTACAAAGATATATGGAAACGGGCACAAAGAACCAGCCACAACAAATTTTTCAAATTTAATCATAGTTACGTTATTGATGTACATTTTTAACACGAGTGTAAGCCACACGATGGTTGTGGCTATGCTTTCGTATGCTTATCTGTGCTGGAAGTTGTATTAACTCGCTTTCATGAGTTCTTTTTAGGGTTCCGTACCTCAAAAGGTAAAAAAGGAACCCTTATAAGATCACTTTCTTGTCCGTCTGTACGTGTGTCACCACCGATTTTCTCAGGAACGGGTAGACCTAGCAATTTGAAATTTATACCAGATACTGAGGTCTATGGTCCCTATTAGGTCTATAAAAATCAAGGTCCTGAGTCAACACGATAAAAAGATATGGGCAAATTTCGATTTTCGTGAAAACTTGTACCAAAATTTACCTTAATTTTCAACTTTTTTTTATTTTTCAGAATTTTCTCTTTACTTGTGCTGTAAGACCTAGCTTTTAACCAAAATTGTCAATTCTAGGCCAACCGGAAATACCCTATAGGTTTTGGGTCGAAAACCTATATGGTAGTTCCCGTTGACCTAGAATCACGAAATTTAGCAAAAAGAAACGTCTTACAGCACAAATAAAGGAACAATTCCAAAAAATAAAAATAAGTTGAAAATTAAGAATAATTTTGGTACTTACAAATTTTCGCGAAAATGTACGTAAAATATGGGTAGGTACGGAACCTTCGGCGCACGAGTTCGACTCGTACCTGACCGGTTTTTTTTTTGTTGCGATCGGCTGGTCACAAGATCGAAACCAAACCAACAAATTTATTAATCCGAACATTTGAATTTTGCTTAATATAGGGATTTACAAGTTAATATTGTTACGTCGGCGTCGGTTGCTAACGCTTTGATACGCACAGCTTACGCCAAAACTTGAATTTTGCAATTTACGTGAACATCTCTATCCACTAATCAGTTTTCAAACTTTACCTTTAGCTCTTCATCAACTAAGTCGTCATCATCTCGCTCCACCGCCAAATCCCAAAGTGCAACTTGATGATCCTCTCCAGCAGACGCCAATACGCTAGGCTCAGTCCAGTGCCACTCCACCGAAGTAACGGGGGCAGTGTGGTGTTTGAATGTTCCGACTGGAGTCTTATTAGAAAATTGCCTTAAGTCCCAGATATGAAGGAATCCGTCATCGCCACCTATATATGTAAGGTGTGAAGTTATTGTTGAATTCATAGGAATATCAGTTAGTTTTAGTTGACTTCACTGTATAGGTAACCAAATTACATGTATTTATGAATTTAATATTTTTTGGTAATCTAACCTAAGAGGAGGGTAAGTTTCAAACACTAATTATGTTTATTCAAAGAGATACAGTTTAAACAGTTCTGTTACAACGTTTAAACTAAAATTCTGCTTGTTTGGTGTAATATGTTTAATGAGTATTTTTAGGTTCAATACTAAAAAGCAAAGGTACGACGTAAGATTTAAAAACCTAGTAGTTTGTCTTTTTTGAGTATTAGTTTGGTTTGGACTAATAACATTAATTATTGTTTTAATGTTCGACTTAACTATTTTAAACCATAATCAAGTTTTGTCAACCTTACCACTTGCAATAAACGGTTCTTTGTTGTTCCATGAAATAACATTTATGTCGCTCTGATGGGCATCCTCAGCTGTCAACATACAAGCTTTGTTGGGGGCCGCTCTCGTGTCCCATATTCTAATGGATTTATCCACTGAACAGGAAGCCAAGACTTTTCTGTAATAACATGAAAATATAAAACATTGCCTGTTATTAAGTATCACAACACATCACATCAACAGCCTTTAATAGTCCACTGCTGGACATACGCCTTTCCTTAGAAAGGAAGTTTTGGCCTACTATACCACGCTGTCCAGACGGCTTGGTATAGGGTTCCTCCTTCCTTCCTTCTCTCTGCAGTGCTGTTGTTCTACATAGTTTTTGTTCCTTTAGTCGGCTCTTACGACACCCGCGAGATGAATAGGGGTAGTGACACTCTGTATTCTTAATCCGTCACTACACGGTCAGTTATTAAGTATACTACCCAGAAACGACACCAATTTTTCTTTCATCTATTTCCTCAGTAAGGAAGGCAGATGTGAATTTTACTCTCATTTCATTACCTAAAATGTAGCCACCACCACCTCTGTAGTTTTGGTAACCGCATGTGATACATAGAACGATTTCATACTCCCAGGTGTTACTGCAATTTTTTCTAACGGGAAAAATTCAAATAATATGCCCGACCCGGCAATAAAACCATTTGACCTCTTAAGTAAGATATGTAGGAAAATACCAGGTTGCTTTGTTCTAAATTTTCACTTTCTGAAAACATTGATACTAAGCAGATCTTATGTATGTTATGTTTTCCTCACTTATGTATGTTTTTATATCAACATAAATAGAATAGTATAGAATGAACTTCATTGTACACCAGTTTAGTACATCATACATACAAGAGTACATCAAATTAATGAGAAAGTACAAATGGCGACCTCACAGCTAAAAACCAATTTCTTACAGGCAAACTTTGGATCGACAGACAAATCGACTCTTAGAATGCTCTTAGATAGACGATTTGATGGGTAGTTTCAGTGTGTAAAAAAATGTAGAAGAATCATGAAATATTTATATAGCAAACAGTAGTTGATGATAAATGTACATTAATACATATAGTCTGTAAAACATATACACATAATATAATATAAATAAATACATACATACCTACGTAAATAAATACATAATATCTACATTTTCATTAGGAAGGAATACAACAGATATAATATACATTCAGTCAAAAAAGCATCGGGAATGGATGATTTGTTTATGGTTCCAAATTCAAATTTTTGTTTTTTTTTTTGTTGTTAGATTGGCACAACTGTTTTCCATTTTGGCGCGGAGTTTGAGTTGCATCTGTTATTTATACGAGTAATAAATACAGTGCTGTTTTTAGTTATATCATATCTAGTGTGTATTGCGAATTTCATAATGGACAAAAACATCGAACAAAGAGTTTGTCTTAAATTTTGCATAGCCCATGGAATTTCGCGTTCGGAGTCACTGAAAATGTTACAGAAGGCTTACGGTGAATCGACTATGCTTATGAGTGGTACAAAGCGTTCAAAAGCGGTCGAGATGTGATGGAAGATTTGCCTCGCTGTGGTAGGCATCAACGTCTGCAACTGAAGTTAACATCGCAAAAGTGAAGGAAAAAGTGACTGAAAATCCTCATTCAACTTTGAGAGAGATAGCCGTCGAACTTTCTGTATCTCACGAGTCAATCCGTACCATTTTAACTAATCATTTGGGTATGAAACACATTGATATAATACTTACATAGATGAGTAATTACCGCCTAAAATCGTTGCTACTGCACATATGTCCACAGGCATATGCGTAGCAAACGTCAATTCATTATTCAATGTGGCGTCAACCGAGTTGAACATAGCGACACATGACAGTAACAATCGCCAAAATGGCTAAATGCGTAGTGAAAGAATGCGATTCAAGGTCACAAAACATCAATAAATCATGCGGAATTACTTTTCACGTGTAAGTTTATGGTTTTTGTATTGATAATATCGTAAATAAGGCTATAATTGAAATAAAACACTGATAATTGTAATTTAGAATCAGTGTTACCATTAAAAAATCATTTTGGTTTTCCCACATTAGTGGGAGAATTTATAATTTATGAAACAATATGCTTTATACTGTTTTTAAACATTTTGCCAATAATAATAAAATATAGGAAAAACGGTAGTTGTTAGGGCTGGACCGATCCCTTTTTTTAGGGACCCGTTGAACGTTCACTGCGAGCTTGGCAGAAGTGCCAAGCTCGCAGTGCTGGAGACTTTTGTACAAAAAAATTAATTCATTGTTTTTCTTAATTTATTATCAATTTTAAATAATAATTGTACAAAATAATAATAATAATAAGATACAGAAGGCAGTCCTCCTTGACGCGGCTCGTATAGTGAGTAGGTTCCTATCTTTGCAGTCCTAACCACTGGTGTCCTGGTACCTGTACCCGATGTCGGTGGTCTACTATTTTTTATATTTTTAAATGTATTTTTATTTCTTTTGTAATATATTTAAAAATGTAATTAATATGTATATATAAAATTTAATAAAGAGAATAATAATAAATGTTTATCATAAAAATAAAAATATAAAATAAAAAAGTAAATAACTAAACATAAATATTTTTTTATAAAATAAAAATAAAAATATTTTTTTTTTTATTTGTTTTTTAAATTATAATAGAATTTGCAATACACCCTGGGGATTATTTATTATCAGTGCAAGTTGATCATTCACTTTTATTATTAAATGCTATTATTTTTACATACGTAAAAATAAGAGTGTATCATGAAAGTAAAATATCCACACAAACTTATAAAAAAGAGTCTAAAAGACAATTGTATACAAAACTGATGCTTCACAGCGCAGTTTGATATTACACTGAATATAAACCCTTTTAACCAAATATTTCCAGTTATTTTATTATTTATACCTATTCTATTCAATTCGAAATATATTATTTAGAATATTTAAATTAATTTATTTTATTACAAAATTGTTTAAAAAAAAAAATTGATTCTTAGTTGTTATGGGTAAAATTTCATACGGTAGTCAACACTGGCCCACCATCGTAAAGTTATATCTTTGTCTTTGTCTAATCCGAGCGATGGTATTGTTCTTGTCTCGCGTGTAAATGAGACATAAATATGTTTACTTTCAAATGTTTAGTGGTATCAAAGCTACGTCGTCAAAGTTCAAAAGTGGTTACACTTTTTTCGACGTGTGATAATGAGGTTTGCTTCTCTAGTGTTGTTTTAACTCAATGATGAAACATGTTACCGCTCGGCTAGTCCCAAAAGGCCTGAATTTTCTCCAAAAACTCAATCACATGAGAGTCGCTGAGGACATGCTAGAACGAGTCAATTCCGACCCAACATTCATGACACGCATTGTTATTGGTGACGAGACGTGGGTTCACGAGTTTGACGTGCAAACCAACTGAACCGACACCGAAAAAACCACGCCAGAGTCAAGTCAAAGTCATAATGACTGTTTTCTTTGACTATCGCGGTGTTGTGCACTCGGAATTACAAAGGAAGGAAGGTCAAACGGTAAATAAAGAATATTATTTAGCGTTATGCGGCATTTAAGAGAGCAAATTCGACGAAAATGGCCAGATTTGTGGAAAGAAAATTCTTGGATTTTGCACCACGATAATGCGCCTTCGCACAAGGCCATTATTGTGAACGAATTTTTGCAAAACACTCATAAAATATCATCGAGCAACCACCATATTCACCAGATATAGCTCCAGCCGACTTCTTTCTTTTTCCTAAACTCAAGTTACCACTTCGTGGCACCTGTTTTCAATCGGTAGAAGACATACAGAAAAATTCGCGGCGAGAACTGAACTCAATTCCGGAAACAGCGTTTAAAAAATGTTTTGATGATTGGATTATTCGTTGGCGTAAGTGTATCGTTTCTTAAGAAGCATACTCTGAAGGTGATAAAATAAATTTGGATGAATAACAATCATTTTGTGTATTATTGATCTTTTCCCGGTACTTTCTTGACAGAGTAGTATTTACATAACATCGACTATGTTACTTAATTTATGGGAAGTCATGACTGGAATATCATTTCGAAAAGGAAATACTTGCCTCTCATTAGGAGACCACTGTATATCTTCAACAGAAGCAGTATGTCCGACTAGAGGGCGTTGATCAACATCCCAAGTACCAGCTTCGTTTGGAGTCCATATATGAATATCTCTTCTGCAATCACCAGTTGCTAGTACCTGATGACAAAAGATATTTCACCTATAAATTTACGACAAAATATATTTAATAAAAAAATATACAGAGAACTTTATACTTGTGTTTCTTGATATATAAGATTATTATATTCGAAAAATGAAACCAATTTTTAGATAGATAAAGTTGAAAAAATTTGGAGTTCTGGCCTTTTTTTATTTATGACACACTACACACTTTTAGTATTGGCAGTCTCATGACTGAAAGGAATCTCTACTGCATAATTGAGCCTAATAAAAAAAAATGTATAGCCCAGATGAGATCTGCTTAATGTCAATGTTTTCAGAAAGTGAAAATTTAGAAAAAAGCAAGCCTGTTTTATCTGGCATTATTATTTATATTTTATTATTATTATTATTATTTATACATCTTAATATAAATTACAAGGATAAGTTTACCAAAACTAATTTTAACTTTCGTAATTAAGTTCTACATACACAAGGTAAAATTAATTGCTAACTTGTGTAATAATAAATCATTGTCATAAGTAATAAAAAATACCTATCACTGGTGTGCATCTGGATCGAAGACCCATTTTTTAAGTCTTTGTGAAAATATTTTTATAAATTAGTGAAAATATAAAATAACAAAAATATTGGGATCTCAGTTCCGAGGTTTAAGTAAAATTTGAAGTTCATTTACTTTTAACACATAGCTTTTATGACATTTTTACTTTTTATCTAATTCACAAAGGTATCTATGTCATCATCATCAACAGCCTTTACTAGTCCACTGCTGGACATAGACGTCTCCTTAGAAAGGAGGTTTTGGCCTACTATACCTGCTGTCTATGTAAAATATATTAAAGTTGTATTTATGTATTTCATTAGTTTAATTCATGTTTTACAGATTCCTCAGTAAAGAAATTAATGAACTAAGGGACCTAGTTAGGGTATACCTAGGGTATTCTACAGTGCTGGGAATTTCTTACTTAATTTTTTTTTTAAATCTTAACTAAATTCTATAATAAAAATAATTAACACAGGGATAGGACTATCTGAGATTGGCTATGCAGCTTTGTGAACAGGTCTGAATTGAGGGCCCAAGTTATTAGATGTTTATTTATTAACTGTAAAAATAAAAGTCAAGGCTGCATTTCCCAAAATAAATTTTATTACTTACACCGGGCTCCGTGGGACTCCAATCAATCCCAAACCCTTCCTGCTGGTGGCCATTAAATGAATACAGGGGCCTTACTGGATTGTTCACACTTTCCAAATTATAGCGTTCAAGCAATGTAGGATCATCCACTGCTTGCAATTGCTGAGTTATATTCCATATGTCTACTCTACCCAATTCAGACCAACTTGCTGCCAGAACAGAATTTTTGAAATTTGTTGCCTGTAAATAAAAAACTCAAAACATTTAATAATGACCTCATTAGTGGTTTCAAAGAATATATTCTAACTAACTCTGTAATAATATATTTGTATTAACTGAAATAAAGCTAGAGTGAAACTACTACTGAACTAAAATTGCCAAAAATATTTAAAAATAATGCTTATAATTTTATTTTTATTACATTAAATGACCATCATCATAGAATAATGTCCGTTTTGAAAAAAAATTGAAGTTCAGTTTTTACCATATTTGGATACTACAGTGTCTAAATATTATTACTACATTAAAGATTTTTTTATGTATATTAGATTTAAAATTATTCAATGTTTGTTGCCTTATTTTACTTTGAGCGCCTAATGTGATAATTTTTCTAGAGAATTGTAAAATTATTGGTTATTTTTAATGATTTTAAAACAAACTAATAATTTTCACTTGCATGCCAATTTTCGTAATTACAGATTTAGAATTTAAAAAGTTATGTCAAAAAAATAACATAATTATTTGAAATTTCTGTCCTGGAAAGTTCAATAAATGTAGGATTCAACACTATTCAATATGACAAAATGATCTTTACTCTAGTGATTCCCTTATTACCGTTTTTGATAATGTTACTGGGTGAAATGTTAAGGTCACCGCCAATTAACTATTTCAAAAACAAGATATTACATGTACACAGAAGATAAACAGCAAATTTAAGTATGTAGTTTAATATCACTCGTTTTGTCTGTATTTGATTTTTTGTACAAACCCTTATCCTATTAACACATCCTTGATGTTTGATGAAAGAAAATGTCATTTCTGGCTTTTTCTCATCATCTTCCTCTTCCTCATCATCATCGTCATCTGAATCTGACTCTTCATTTTCAGCCTCTTTAGATGTTTGATGCAAATTGGACATCTTTATTACTAAAACACTGCAATCAAGTATCACTTTTAATAGAAATACTTAACAAGGAGGATAAAGCATAAACAAATTCAATTGTTAAAAAAATGATTTACTTACTTGTTCAAATGTGCACTAGAAGCTTGAGTGCCGGCTACCAAATAGGTTGTCATCGGAAACTCGTGCCTATCACTCCCAAGATTGTCAGTGATAACATCAAAGCTTAGACAAGGAGCACCTGTTTGGGCTTGATGCAACATGACATACGCAGATTGATCGCATACCAGGTGCTCATCTTCTTTTAGGGGTTGATCGGGTAAATAGGTTTTAGGACGATCGTCATCATCTACTTCCTCGCCTTCCTCCATAACTTCGTCTTCCGATTCAGAGGAACTCTCCATTTGTTCTTCAATTTCGTTTGACATAGCTAATATGCTCTTACTAAATTAGTTAACTTTACTTTAACTTGATAAATATAAATGAAAACAAGACATGCGTGATTGAGGTTATTTCCTCAAACTAAATCATGCATTTGACAGTGACAACACTGACAAATCTGACAACACACACTTTTTGAGATTCTGTCGTCGTTCGTTTGGTTAGCACGTGCGTCTAGAATTCTTACAAATCTTGTGTGATTTTGTGACTATTGGGTCTTTTTTTTTGTGTTATTTTGTGCTGTCCTATTGGTTACGGTGTGTTGTTTGTAACTAAACATTACCGGTAAGTGATTAACATGAACGGAAACAAACCGCCCGACCCTCCCGATATTCCATATCCTGTACCCCTCCTTTCACCCCTACTCCTCCCCTACCCGATCAACCCTCAACCCCTTCCAACCCCTTAGAACAGTTTGCCAATGTGATCTGCAATGCAGCGGTCCAAGATAATTGCCCTCTCGCTACAAACTCACGTAAACGACATGTGAACGATGAGGTAGGTACCCACCCTCTTAAACGTAGCCCTAATCAAATAAGAAGCCCGCTTGGTCGTGACAAGTACACGACGAACGATACTGGTCCCTACATTGTTCATGTTTCCCGCGTGGAGACCCAATTGAGTTCTGGCACAACTCTCCACCCTGTCTCTTTTGGTGTTTTCCTCTTCAAAAATAAAATTAATAATGTGGTTAGAGATGGAGTCAAAAAAGTAGGTCGTAATAGGGTGTCAGTACAGTTTGCATCCCCTCAGGATGCAAACTCATTTTTAATAAACCCCTTACTAAATACACATAAATACACTGCCATCATCCCCACCTTTAACATCACTAGAATGGGTGTAGTATCAGGCATCCCCACCGACATGGATGATGAGGATGTCATTAAATTTGTAACAGTGCCGCTGTGTTGTGGCCCAATAATTAAAGTCAGGCGCCTTAATAGGAAATCTTTTACTGAAGGTCTATTGGAGTGGAAACCTACGGAAACCTGTGTCCTCACTTTTGATGGCCAGGTTCTGCCTAAAAGAGTTTACTGTTGTTACAACTCGCTTCCTGTTCAACAATATAAATATATTGTTGAACAGGAAGCGAGTTGAACCTGCAGCATTTCCTACACTGTACGGTTGGGTATTTACCCAACCGTACAGTGTAGGAAATGCTGCAGGTTTGGCCATATGGAGTCAATCCGCAGGTCCAAACCAAGATGCAGCAAGTGTGGCCACGAACATCCTGGTAATGGTTGTGCCATGTAGAAAGAGAGGCCTTTTGTGTGCTGTGCTCCGGTGACCACTATGCTTAAAGCAGGGCTTGCCCGGAGTATGATAGACAGAGAGCTATTAAGACCATGATGGCGGAAAGGAACATATCCTACATGGAAGCAAGCAAGGTTGTTCCCTCTCCAACACGCCGATACGCTGACATCCTGAAAGCTCCACAACTCAACCAACTTATTTATTTTTATTTTTACGTCCGGCACACGCGGACGCCGCCCCCCCGCGGCTGGCCAACTAATGCGGGTGGAGGGGAGAACCCATCCCGTCCACCCGCGGCCACACTCAGGGCGGCATGAGGCGCAGGTGAGCGCGCCTCCGCCGCCCGGTTCGCCGGCGGCGGATCAGGTCCGAGTGGAGGTCGTCCTCCCGGGCCTTCTCCGCCGCCTCCTTCTGCGAGATTACCTCCTCGCAGAAGGTTGCGACCGCGGTAAAACAACTATCGCTACCGGCCATGGAGCGAATTACGGCCGGTAGCGAGGATCTGCTCCGATGACTGCAGTGAGGGCCCGGCGCTTCGTCGCCCATGCGGGGCAAACTACCAGCGTGTGCTGGGCCGAGTCCTCACTGCAGTCGCAGTATTGGCAGGCGGGACTCGATTCCCTCCTAGCGACCGAGTACAGGTACTTTTCAAAGCAACCGTGCCCGGAAAGCACCTGCGTCAGCCGGAAGGTAATGGTCCCGTGCTGCCGCCCTGCCCACTCGGCGATGACCGGCTGGAGAGCCTCCACGGCGGCGAAGCCTCCAGCCGGAACGACCATCTGACCATGGTGGCTCGGCGAGCCGCTTCGCGCCACTCGCGCACGCGCACGTCTTCACCGGAAGTCAGCACACCGGAACTTCGGCGAGCACTTCCGCCTCCAAATCCCACGGGGGTGTTCCGGCCAAGGCGCAAGCCGCCTCGGTGGACACCGTGCGATATCCGCGTATGGCTCTGACCGCCAATATCCTCTGGGGCCGCCAGAGGCGCGCCCTATTCGGGGCGGTCAGAGCCGCCACCCACACCGGTGCACCATACAGCACCATGGACCGGACAACCCCCGCGTACAGCCGCCTCGTGGGAACACTGGTCCCGCCCAAATTGGGCAAAAGTCGCCCCAGGGCGGAGGCAGTGTCCACCAACTTCAGACCAAGCTGTCGGAAGTGCTCGTCGAAGAGCCACCTACCGTCTAGGACCAGACCCAGGTACCTCATCTGGGCCCGGACCGGTACGAGGACCGAGCCGACCTCGATTGACCACGACGGGGCCCATGAAATAATAGGGCTGTGGCGTACCTACTTACACCACGTCCTACGAAGTTATTAGCCCCGCTCAACTTTCGCACCTTGGACCATACACCCGAGGCAGTAAACAAAAGGATGGCGTGTGACGTCGCACCGGCCTAGCGACCGGCAATGTACGGACCTACCTAGGCACTCCGCGTTCGGCGCTCACGCTTACTACCGCTCATTATTTTTGTATCGAGTTGATAACTATATATCTGTTAATTTTGTAAAGTTTCTTTTTAAAATATAATTGTTGGAACTACTAAACTAATATCGTTCATTTTTCGACTTCCATCTCAGTGTAGTGATATTTTTTCTTAAACGTCCTACCTACCTGACTGGATAAGGATCCCGGTACGAACCTTGGAATTAATGTGGTGGCAATTCCCCCACATATTGGTGACCCCGAAAGCAGAAGAATTTTGAAGATTGTTGCGCCGGATTTTTTGAAGGTAGAAGATTTTTCAAGGTTTGTGGCTGAAAATCGGGAATATCCAGGATTGCATCAGTGCATCAGTTCAACAAGGGAACCTGTTTCTAAGGTACTTTTTTGAAATACTTGGTGTAACTATTGAGAAATTACTTAGATACACTTTCACTTTCATAGAAATTTTAGCGTGTGGTCCAAGTCACAAGCGGCAAGCGACTTAATATTTTTTTAATATTAAAGATGTCTAATGAGGACGGTCCTATTCCGAACGCAATAGTGGAGGAGCCTCAGGTATCGCGCGTGGGAGTGCGCGTCCCACCTTTTTGGCCTGCGGACCCTACTGTATGGTTCGCGCAACTGGAGAGTCAGTTTATCCTCTCTAGGGTGGTCACCGACGAAACCAAATTCCATTATGTAGTTTCACAGCTCGACACACAATACGCAATGGAAGTGAAGGACGTAATTAAAAATCCTCCAGCATCGGGCAAATACGAGAAAATAAAGACTGAACTTATTAAACGATTATGTGCATCGCAGGAAAAGCGTTTGAAGCAGCTGCTGGAGCGAGAGGAGCTAGGAGACCGGAAGCCCTCGCAGTTCCTGCGCCACCTAGAGGGTCTAGCAGGTGCAGACGTGCCCAGCCAGTTCATGAAGACTATCTGGACCAGCAGGTTACCCCAGGAAATCCGAACTGTTTTAGCCTCTAGGAGGGACGAGCCACTGGAGTACCTGGCTGATTTGGCTGATTCTGTCTACGACATCGCTGCACCATCTCCTCAAGTCGCTAGTACATCATCCTCAGGTGCTGATCGGTTCGACGAGATGACTAAGCAGATAAGCGAACTCACTAGGCAAGTAGCTTCACTTACCTCTCACATGTCTAGGAAAGGGCATCCCGGACGCAGTCGTTCCAAGTCACAGCGAAGCGATCGCTCACGCAGTCGCTCGAGACCACAGCAGCCACCTCCGAATCATCCTCACTGCTTCTATCACTTCACATACGGAGCTAAAGCGAAGAAATGTAAGCAACCTTGTACCTTCACGTCGGGAAACGCACAGGGCGGTCGGAAGTAGCGGCCAACGACTGCCCACCTTCAACATCATCAGGCCGTTTGTTTGTGACAGATCGTGCAACGAAAATGCAGTTCCTTGTGGACACTGGTTCCGACCTGTGTGTTTTCCCACGTTCAGCACATAAAACGCCCTGCTCACTTACCAAATACGACCTGGTAGCTGCAAACAATAGCGTCATCCATACTTACGGACCAGTTCAGCTTCACTTGGATTTGGGACTTCGGAGAGATTTTGCATGGACTTTTACAGTCGCCGATGTATCTCGACCCATCATTGGTGTCGACTTGCTCAGTTTCTACAACTTACTCGTGGATTGCAGAAACCAACGTCTCATTGACGGTACTACAACCTTGTCAGTAGCAGCCCTTTCTTCTTCGGTTCCTGATGAGCTGTCTTCCATCAAGGCGGTCACTGGTGATTCAGATTTTCATCACATTCTTCGTGATTACCCTGAAATCACCAGACCTGCAGGTATTCAGTCTCCTCCCAAACATAGTACAATGCACTACATTAAGACTACCCCTGGACCTCCAGTCTCGTGTAAGCCTCGTCGTCTTGATCCTGTTCGCCTCCAAGCTGCGAAAAAGGAGTTCGAGGATATGCTCGCCAGTGGTATAGCTAGACGCTCTGAAAGTCCTTGGTCCTCTGCACTGCATTTGGTGAAGAAGAAGAAGGATGATGCCTGGAGACCTTGCGGGGATTACCGTGCCCTAAATGCTAGAACCGTTCCAGACCGGTATCCCGTCCGCCACATCCAGGACTTTTCGCACCAACTGTCAGGTTGTTCCATCTTCTCTACTATAGACCTAGTCAAGGCCTACAATCAGATTGCCGTCAATCCAGAAGACATACCTAAAACTGCCATTACTACTCCTTTTGGGCTTTTTGAGTTCCCGTACATGACCTTTGGTTTAAGAAACGCGGCTCAAACTTTCCAAAGGTTCATCGATATGGTTCTGCTGGGACTTGACTTCACTTATGGGTATATTGACGACATCCTCGTTTTCTCCAGTTATGTGGAGCAGCATAAGGAACACCTGCACATCATCTTTCAGCGCCTCAAGGAGTATGGAGTGTTAGTAAACACTTCCAAAAGTCATCTGGGTCAGTCTGAAGTTGTCTTCCTCGGATACAGAGTATCAGCTGCTGGAACACAGCCTCTCCAGTCTAAGATCGAGGCCATCCAGAACTTCCCGGCACCTAAAACGGTCAAAGAGCTTCGTCGATTCTTGGGTATGATCAACTTTTATCATCGTTTTCTACCCCACGCAGCTCAACTTCAAGCACCTTTGAATGCCGTTCTATCTGGTCCGAAGGTTAAAGGTTCACATCCAGTGGAAATGACTCCAGAACGTCGTAAAGCTTTCGAGGACTGCAAAGCTTCTCTCTCTCATGCAGCTCTCCTTGCTCATCCAGATCCTTCTGCAGAGTTAGCGATCGTCACGGATGCTTCTTTGACTTCCATCGGAGCTGTACTTCAACAGAAGAAAGGTGAGGACTGGCAACCTCTTGCGTTCTATTCACACAAACTTTCCAGCTCACAGATGAAATACAGCCCATACGACCGCGAACTCCTGGCTGTCTATGAGGCTATCAAGTATTTTCGGCACATGGTGGAAGCGAGAACCTTTACTGTCTTCACGGATCACAAGCCGCTTACCTACTCCTTCTCCATGAGCAAAGAAAACTGTACTCCAAGACAGTTCCGCTATCTGGACTTTGTAGCCCAATTTACTACCGATATTCGCTACCTGCCAGGACGAGACAACGTGGTTGCGGATGCACTTTCTCGGGTTGAGGAAGTATCACTTACCTTAGACTATCAGGCTCTTGCACGTGCTCAGGACGAAGATCCAGAGACCAAGACCTGCTACTACGTGGTTCTGCCCTAAGACTACAAAAGGTACTTACCTTGAACAGCACTCTTCCAGTCTACTGTGACATGTCTGTTCAGCCACCTCGACCATACATTTCGCCGAGTTTCAGGAAAACAGTCTTCGCGATGCTGCACAACTTACATCATCCCGGTTGTTCTGCTACAGTGCGACTGGTCACGCAAAAGTTTGTGTGGCCAGGAATCCGCAAAGATTGTAGAGAGTGGGCTAGGCAATGCTTGCAATGTCAATCAAGTAAAGTTACTCGCCATACAGTAATTATCGGTATAACAGCTACATACCCAGGGTTTCTAGATCTTTTAATAGACTAAACCACAGTGAACTCATAGATCTATTCTGCAGTAGCACCAGAAACCTCAAAAATGTTATATCTTTAGATCCTAAACTGTTGTAACTATCTATGTATATGTAAGTCTATTTAGTATGTATTATTATAGATACCAGCACTGTTTTCTGTCTACATGTGGAAGCTTGTAAATGGCATCTAGATAATTAACATAATATGTATTTTGTAAATTTAGCCGTAAGCTCCCCAAATATAATAAAATAAAAAAATAAAATAAACATACTACCTCTCCTCTATCCACATTCCTGACTCCTTCTTCTCGTTTCTCACACATTCATCTTGACCTTATTGGTCCCTTGCCATCTTCCTCTGACTACATGTACTGCCTCACCGTCATCGACAGGTTTACACGTTGGCCTGATGCGTACCCGCTTAAATCAATCACCGCTGAGTCTTGCGCTGCAGCCCTCGTCTCTGGGTGGATCGCCAGATTTGGTTGTCCAGCCCGGATCACTACCGACCGTGGTCGGCAATACTGGTATACTACTTCATTTGAATGCCGATGTTGAGTTGAGAGACTATAGGTATATTGAACAGAGAAATAGAATGAATTTAAATCTTTTTTAAGTCATGTTAAGAATACGTTCTGGTTTAAAGTTGGAAAGAGAATGCTGCAACAAATATGAAATCCCAATAAATGTTGTTAAACAAATCGGTACCAAAGAATCGTATTAATCTGTCACTGACGATGATGGTGCTGACAAAAACGATTAGTTTCAGTACTAAATTTTAATAAAGGAAACTAGTTATTAAAACACATCTTTTTCTTTCGTAATTACTAAAGTGTAGTGTAGTACCTATAGAGTAGGATCGTTTTTCGTTGGTGGTTTTCTGGTGGTTTTAGATTGTGAATCTGGTGGAGAGTTCATTTACCTGTTGGCAACACTGGTTATGTGATGTGAAGCAGTCAAAAGACAAAATGTATTTATTTAATGGTTTAAGGTTATTTTAGCATAAACCTACAATAACTTATTTTCATGTTGAATTGAAAAGTATTAATCATGGCTTTTCGGTGTACGAAATTACTGAAAATAATCAGAAGTACAAGTGTTTTCCGACACAACCTGATCGCAACTTCGATTTCTTTACCTGAAGAAATAAAAGTAGTGAAACCAAAACAATACAAAACAGAAGATAATTTAATTTTTTTAGGGGATCCAGATAACTTTGGCTCCTTGTCAAGAACAATAAAACCATCCCCTGAACAATTAGAAGACGAAGGTGATATTCAAGAAGAGCGTTTTTTACAGAATAAACCTTTACCATCTCAGAAGTTAACCATTAAACAGTATGCTGACTTAATAAAGCAATTTGTGAAACAAAAAAGGATTAAAGAAGCTATGGATGTACTAGAAGTGAGAATGTTGAAAGAAGATAGAGTGAAGCCAGTAAGCTATATTTTTAATATATTAATAGGTGCCTGTGCTGATGTTGGATACACAAAGAAAGCCTTCAGATTATATAATGATATGAAAAGGAGAGCTGTAAATGTAACAGGAGACACATATACATGTCTCTTCAATGCTTGTGCAAATAGCCCTTGGCCTCAAGATGGTTTAAGAAATGCTAAACATTTGAGGGCGCTAATGATAGAAAAAGGAATTGAACCAAACTTGACTAATTACAATGCAATGATAAAAGCATTCGGTTGGTGTGGTGATTTGCCAACTGCTTTTCAAATTGTTGATGAAATGATGCAAAAAAAAATACAGATTAGGGTGCACACATTTAATCATCTTTTACATGCTTGTATTTCTGATAAAAATAATGGTTTACGACATGCTCTCCTTGTTTGGAGAAAAATGTTAAAAATGAGAGAGAAGCCTAATATTTACACATTTAATTTAATGTTGAAATGTGTAAAAGACTGTAATTTAGGTTCTAAAGGTGATATCGTAGAAATGATAAATACAATTCTAGCTGCAATGCCACAAGTTAAAACGAATAATGTTCAGTTGGAATTCATGCAAAAAAATGAAATTTTAAATATAGGGTGCCAAGAAAAAACTTTAATGCAATCAGATGCTGTACCCATTGTAAATAGTGAAATTATTACTCTAAAAAAAGATGAAATTACTTCGGCTGTAATAGACACAGAAGACAATGTTACAACACACCCTGTAAACAAAATGGTCAAAGCTAAATTAAACAATAGGATGGTTCCCAATTTGCTTTCAAGAGTATTAAATATGAACAAAGTAACAGGATTACAAGAAGTGCATACAGTACAAGATAAGTTTGCTATAATCGGTGGACAAGAGGATTTCCTTAAAGAAATGGAAGTTTATTCTGTAAAACCAAATGTTAAGACATTCACACAAATGCTTCCTTTACTGGATAATACAACAGAAGCTGAAAACAAACTACTGGAAGTTATGAAATCTTCAGATATTAAGGCAGATATAGATTTCTATAATATGCTGATAAAAAAGAGGTGTCTTCGATTAGATTATGATGCGGCAATTGTAAGTTTATCCTGTTTTATATTGTATTTTCAATTCTCTGCTTCTTTTTTAGTGTTTTACTTTTTTATATTAACACAGATAGTAAAACAAGTGTAGTTTCCATCTAATTTTGGTCACCACATTTGCAATTGAGGATGAAAAAAATACTAGTAATTCAGGGAAATACTTTTAATAGTTTCTTTTGTAGGATGTAAAGCAAATAATAAAAAACGAGTCTGAATTTCGAAAGAAGCGATATCCTCAGTCTAAAAAGTTAAAATTGAATGTCAATATAATGACATATGGAGTTCTTGCAATGTCCTGCAAAACAAGAGAAAGTGCCATGGAGTTGCTGAATGAGATGAATGAAAAAAAATTGAAGTAAGTTCGTTTTTGTTTTACATTGACTTAATAAACCAAAATAATTGCACAAGATTCTAAAGGAAATGTGTAATATACCCTATTCCAATAATTAATGGATTAATTCATTATGGACTATTCACATGTAAAATTTTATGTCATTACGCTTAATAATTAACGAAATACAATTAAAATACTGACAACCACCACAACTCGTAAATAAACCGACCGACTTCGGATGGCTACAAAAAATTCGGCCGTGCAGTTTAGATACTCAAACTCAAAAACTAAAATTCGAACTTTTGCCGATGGGGCAACGCACACCTATCTGACCATCAGATCATAACATCACTATTCTAAATGTAAGGTGTGCCCTTTTTATCTCCTTCCAACAGGTGTGAAAGTGTAACAATCTCACTGGTGTCCACTACTTCGTAAAATACACAGTCCATCCTTCCTCTTCCATGTCCCTGTCCTTTTTCCTGTCTTTATATAACAGTTTAGATGTAAAAACGTGTCAGACAAACAGATTTCCCTATGCATTTATAGTATTACTAGCTTCAGTACCAGAGCGCAACTTATTTTTTTAAGACTATGCCCGTATCAGGAATATACCCTGTGTTGCAGGGGACTTTACACTTTATGAAACGGACACAAAGAACACCCAGACTCAGAGCAAGAATTTGAGTACCACACAAAGTGATATCCCATGTGGGGTCGAATCCACAACACTTGGTGCAGTAGGAAGCGGCGACGTGACCGCTTTAACCACTACGCCATCCATGCAGTCAAACTGAACTATGTCTGTGTAGATTATTACTTCAACTTAGTCTATATATTTCCCCAAGCTTTAATCAATTCCTATTTACACACAATTAGTCATAAACGCAGACATTATTTCTTATCGATCCCTAAGTGAAAATAATAATGATATTTTACAACACATACGCAATAAATAGAATTCGTAGATCAGTTTTCATAAAAAAACAATAGCTTTTATCTGTCCTGAGTATGTGTTTTAAGGGAGTATGCTCCTCAACATTCATTATTTTGTTACCTAGCACCTAGTGCATGATGGTGGCTCTGTGGTAGAGCAAAACACGGATCTAGACTCTTCTAAATAATAAAAATTTACGTTTCAGAGTGAACATAGAAATACTAGGAACTCTTTTAAGGCAGGGAACTGCGAATAACGAAATCGGATATGTCTTGTACATAATGAATGTGGCTAAAAAGGAAAATGTAGTGCTCAATGAAATGTTTCTAAAACACTTAGAAGCTTTTAACGATAAATGTCGTGAAAGGATCAACAAGGTATCTACTTTAATTACTATTTATTTCATGTGAGTAGTAGTAGTAAACCCAATTGCTCTTATTCCTTATATATATATATATATACACCTCTTGGAATATTACTGTTCATCAAAATGTAATTGAATTGCCAATATTGCATTAAATTAAATACATAATCAAATTTCAGGAACAAGCTACAACAGGCTTTGTCAAAGCTTTTGAAAACTTATCAAAATACTACACCAGTTGGTTAAAAGATGTAAATATTCAAAAGGTACTGCAACCAGACCATCCATGGCAACAATTCAGACAAAACTATCCTGACACATTTCAGCGAGATAATAGAGTAGCAATCTCACAGCCTAAGAAATTTTATAAACGGAACCGAAAACATATACCTTATGTACCAAAAATTGTAAATTAAAAACAAGAAAAATATAGTTCGTAGCTTTATTTATACTGTTACAAATGTGGCATGAGTAAATATTTGTTAGATTTTGATATGATGAAGCTTACGGTTGAGCTCTTCAAATTTCAGGAGTTTGCGAATGAAAAAGTCGCCAAAACGGTGAGCCACCTTCGTGTCTGCGATATGAATCATATCATTGTCAATGTAGAAATCCAGCTGAAAGTTAAATTACCATGTTAACCCATGATGATTATTACTTTTAAATATTAATTTTTAATTAAAATTCCAGATGTAAAAGCTTGTACTTTAACATAGAAGTAACTTATTGACTATTCAATAACACAATTTTATGCTCTCGGCTAAAACTCTACATTAAAAACAAAAACAATTTTTATGAGTAGAAAAAGGGTTTACTAATTTATTATAGCTTACTGTGTTCAGCAAAATAAAACTAATATTGCTCATCATGCCTTTAAGAATCTAAGCGAATATAAAAGCTGAAGAATTTTTTCTTTCAAATTGTTATTTCTAGAATTATCTGGATAGTTAATTAAGATAACCTTCTCCTTTTTGAGGTCAGTTAAAAAGCTATCCTATGTTACATAACATCACACTACTATTGACAGAAATCATCAATAATCACATTCTTAGCTGTATAAAATCTAAAATTATTAAGTACTTCTAGTCTACTTACCTCAGAACCACTCTGAAATTTCCCATCAAGACCACTTGGTCCCTTGCTCCAGACAACATTCTTCATCTTGTGTTTGAAGCATAGCAGGTGAATAGCGAGCGCTGCATGTTCCCGCGCAGCATCACGATCGCCGCCGCGGGCAGCCGACATAAACGCCGCAAGTTTAGCTAAGGGTAGCGTCGTATACAGCTTCAAATACGAACGGATGGTAGGTAGCATCTTTTGTTGACGAACCTGTTAATATTTTAAACTTATATTAATTACAATCTGGAGATTGAAATGCCTTTACAGAAACTGTATCTAGACTGACCTCGTCCATGAACACCTGAGTCTGGTGCTTGACAGCGTCACGTCCGTAGTTGGAACCAGGTTCAATGGGGGGTGGGCATGGTGACAAGAACTTAGGACAAGCAAAAATAAAGCAGCTCTCGAACTCTCCCAAATCACCATATTGCATCTTGAACATCTTCTCATGGTAGTTCTTTTCACGGAGCACCTGCATTTACAAAGTATGATTAAACAAATATGCAAGTGTAACACGTGTCTACATAAAGTTTTCAAAAGTAAAATTTTTGGATAACAAGAACGGCTACTGATTTTGAAATTTGAATATTTTTATATGCTATTTGGAGTTTTAATAGCATGAATTTGTTTTTTTTTTGTACACAAACAAGCATACAACTTATCTGACAGTAAGTACAATGTAAGTGTATGAGCCTACAGGCTTTTGCAACATGTTTGTTACTTAAGAGAAATTATGGCAGACATACCACTATTTAAATCTTAAATTAATTACAATTTATCTGTTGTAAAGATTTATCAAACCGTGTAGTAAAGGTTTATTTGAGCAACAATAAACACTTCAAAACATGTGGTTTTGAAGTGTTTATTGTTTCTCAAATCATTAAGCCTTTGTGCCAAGAAGTCAATGGCCAGCTGGTATGTTGTCTAAATGTCACTTGACTTGACAACTTGTTGCTTTCGTTCTCACATACTTTTTGGACCTGCTCGAAATGCAATGCACAAGATATGCTAATTTTAACGCTAAATCTGCCATCTGCTAAGCAAAAATTACCTGCTGAATAGATTCATCAACGCATTGTGGATGTAAAACCAAACATATAGCCAACAGATGGTACATCTGTTCAGTTTGCTTATTGATTTGGTCGTTCTGGTAGGAGCGAGACGAGAATAGTTGTTTTGTACGCTGCATGTAAAGAAGAGCTGATGACAAGGTCCGAATGGCGTCTGCATAACGACGCATCATCATGTACGCAAAGCCAACGTAATACGATGTCGAGATTTGACATGCAGGCACATGAGAATACTGAGACTTCTTATGAAGTTCAATGTTTTCCAGAACCTGAAACATATTTACTTAAGCTATAAATGTTGCCTTATTCCAAAATATTATTTTGCCCTATCTAATTAGTTAATTACATTAAAACTTACATATTGTGTTGTGATATATTTATATGGCTGTAGTTGACTACATGTTAATGTTGTGTGTGAACACCAAAATCATACCTTTATAGCCTGGTAGTAGTCTCCAAGCAATGAATGCAGCCGCAAGAGGCCTACTAACGAGAAGTACCCCAACATTTTGTAGAGAGAGTGACGGCCGAACTCTCCAGCAACCGAATCGGGATCGCCGCCAGCAGCATACACCTAAAAACGCAATAGCGATCTTCTCTTAAGAGTTTTGTAAGGTATTGTTAAAGCCCATGGATGCACGGAATGATGTGTGATAACTTTGATAGTTTTTTTATAAAGGAATTTAGAATTTTATCTTATTAAATTAAAATACGATATTTGTTTTTAACCGGCTTCAAAAAGGAGGAGATTCTATGTTCCACTGTATGTATTTTATTTTTTGTATAACAATTTTTACTTTGTGTTATTTCAGCATCTTTATACAACTGCCATTATATTGCTTACCTCAAGTTGGCGTTTAATGTTGGACTTATCCACAAGGGAGTGTAACACATTAAGAATGCACAAAACATTCCATGCCTTATTTTCAGTGTTAAGAGCGTCGATTTCAGCTGGGCTTAGTTTAGAAGTGCGAGATCTGAAAAGAGATCATGAGTGTGTTACAATACAGCTACACCCTTAAAAGATTACCCTTTTTGGCTACCTTTCAGAAGACATGAATTAAGTCTTAAACACAGTGATTATGTGCATAACGAATTATATTTAACAATCCTACTAACTAAAATAAGCTACTGTATGAGAAATGTTAAATTTTAATACAAACCTGTATTGTGCAAATGATTGGAATTGATAAACAAATTCATCTATAAGTTCCCACAACCACTGGTCAGGTAATTCAAGAGGCACAGGTGTCTCCGCAGATAAGATGTAGTTGAACAGGTCACAATAGTTGTAGAATGAGTGAAACCTTTGCTCAGGTTTTGGACCACCAGGCACACGCGCATAAATGTCGCGATAGTACAGCTCTTTGTATAAAATCATGAAAACCTAAAACAGTAAGTAAAACAGTAAGTAAATGTAATCTTTTTTTTTCGGAAAGATATTATCAGAAACTAACATGGGCTACTTTATACCGCAAAAGCTAGTAAGACATAAACTGTAGATAATTAACATCCAAGTTAAGGGGTGCATCTACTCAAGGTCTTTTTTATAATAGTTAATTAAATTCTAATACTTACAGGATCATTATCAACTATAGGTGAAACCTCATTTTCCTCAGGCCAGGGAGTATTCTCAAAATACTGCTCAGTAAGTTTAGGAAAAGTATTTTCATACAGATTCAAAATCTCGTATGTTACACCCTCAGTGATCATGTTACGAAAGTAAACAAGAAATTTTTTCACCTGAAAATAAAATATAAAGACATCAGAATTCCAAATGATTCTAAATTTTTTTAATGAATTAAAAATTTTATGATTTCCTTTTCAATTCTGTTGTGACTTAGATCCAACTATTAAACCTAAAAAACTTATTAACAATATGCATTATTAATAAGATTTGTTGATCCTTATAACTAAAACATGTTATTAATCCACTAAGAATTGCGATTTTCTGAAAACCGTTCCTAATCAGTCATCGCTCTTTATGATCTCCCTCAACAATATCCTAATTAATTTTGTTTATCTTAAATTTAGAACATTCCCTAATTGTGATATAATAAACTAAGTTATTTCTTTGAAGAAGATATACTTAGAAATCATCGGCAGAGGCAGTCAGGATTAATAACTACGAGACTGTTGGTCTTGTAGTTATTAATCCTGACTGCCTCTGCCAGTCAAGTTTATGAATCTGAATAAAGTGGTTTCTATTACTATTATTTTATATATTGATATAATGCGAGATGACCTTAACTTGAGACCTGCACATCGTGGTGTCGCAGACATGCGTTTGTACAGAGTGCACAAAAAGTAGCGCCAGAAGCTTCCGCACGCGACTTCGTTTATGCTATTTTTAATGTAAAAATAACATGGATACTACTGTACTCAAAACAACAACAACACTTCATATTTATCTTTTATTATTATACTGAGCCAAAAAAAATAATTGTTTTACGTGAATTATACTACTATGCTATGACAACGGGTACGAAAAAGTAGTTATAAAATTCAATGTATTTAAGTCAGAATTGTGACTAATTATTATTATAATATAATGTATATTATAATGTATATGTGTATCTATTTCTGACAAGATTAACAACAAAATGTAACAGACAGTCTAATAACAATATGATAACAAGATTATTAAATTATTTTAATTTATAATTATTTATCCTTAAAATGACTGGACCGATTTTCATAATATTTTACTACCAGGTCTATATATGGAATGACTTAGGCTATTTTTCCTCTCAGAAAAACCCTATAAAATTTTGAGAGGTCTCATGCACTGCAGTGTACTTTACTACACCACTACCCCAGCGCTTTTAGAATTCCACGCCGTGGAAGTCGCGGGTACTGGCTAGTGAACTAGTAAATCTACATTCTATCTGGGTGTGTTTGTACATTTGAATGAGAATGGTGTATTTCTCATACAATTTCTTCAAAGTAGTAGCAGTATACTATCTATCATCAATCATGAAAAATGAATGATGATTTTGTTAGCTTTTAGTTTAGCTAGCTTTAAACTCTGAAGTAATATAAAATAATAATAAAAACCTCACACATCTCACACACGGCTGTCTGATCCCAAACTAGGCAGAGCCTGTACTATGATAACCAGACTGCTGATAAACATACTTATATATTTCTAAATACATTCATATTATAGATAAATTACACCCAGACACAGAACAAATGATTGTGCTCATCACATAAATATTTGTCCTGGGTGGAAATTGAACCCACGACCTCCGGCTTGGCAGTCAGAGTAACTAACCACTAGACCAGCAGGCCAATATTGTCAACACTATTTGTAATAGTTGGAATTACACACTTTCACTTACCATATCAGGCATTTTATAATGAGACCTATCATATTCCAGGTCATATTGAGGATCTCCCGTGTGCGGTTCGTAGTCACCGTATGACTCATATCCACCCTAAAAATTGCAAAAATATTTTATTAAGTCTAAATGTATTTATATTATAATGCTGCTTACGTTTATGGTTATAGGTTATGACATTCAGTCAAATTTGTTAACGTAGATTGTTAGCTCCACCGCAGTTCTTACCTCGTTATAATCGTCACTGGAATACATATTTCTTGATGAATTCTATGTTATAGGCAGCTTTTAACAGTCAAAAATAGAATCTGAAAATACTAATCAGTCGTCGACCACGACCAAATACATTACACAGTATTGCCAGATGCGTTGCAACCATAGAGTACAGCACAGTAATTAGGGATGCAATCGATATATCGATTTTCTTCAAACTTCGATACATCGCTTTTAATCATCATTGTTTTAACATCTAAGTTGACCCAAAAAAATGAATGATACATCTTTCTTATTGAGCGCTGTTTTATGAACGATACCTCTCTCAGTCACAACTGTCACAAGCATAGACTTTTCTATTTAACAAAACAATTGCTTTGATCTTCTTTAATAACGGCTATTTTTTTATTTGTTCCATGTGAAAAAGTGAAGCAAAGTTATAGTTAACTATGAGAGATAGTTCAAATTCAACTATGTACATTGCGAACGTAACCAGCCGCTTATTTCAATAACATGATTTTACTCTTTTTCATTGTTTTAGTTTAAAAGTGAGCTTAAAAAGGTAAACATTCAGTTATAGATTTTATTTCTGAGATATCTATAAAGAGACATGCGTTGGAGATGTGGGACGACCTAGAGGTTATTTCCTTTGCCCATCGTAGCAACTTCGATACCTAGTGAGCGGTTATTCTCAGAAGCTGGTGCTACAATCACCCAGGAGAGAAACCGGAAACTTACTGGGAACCATGTTGTCAAAAGTATTTTTTTTTATATTATATTTTGAAGAAATAAAATCTTAATATTTGTTTTCTGTTAAAATTAACTATTCAACAAAACTTTAAAACTAAATGTTTAAACCTTCCTAAAAGATTTTAAATATAAAATTAAATTTTATTACTGATTTGTTTCATTTCTGTTAAACATAAATATATATTATATATTTATACAGTCTCGATATCGAATATCGATGTAAAGTTTGATGTTTTTGACACCGTTTTTACCTTGGGAAAATTTCGATGATTTTTAAGAGCGATGTTGCATCACTAACAGTAATATTGATTGTAGGCATGGGAAAAAGTCACAGTGAACTATGAAAGACCGGTCATTTATCATCGATTTTTTCGAACATAGGTTAGGGTTACTACTTACTCACGCGTTGTTGCTCATAAACTGTTTTCAGACTATGCATAAAGACCCTATTTCGCCTATTTTACAGTAAATTATTTAATTATATGTAGCTACCATTATCTACATAATCATTAAAAAAAACTAGATTTACTGTTAAATAGCGTCTAATCTACCTATCTAGTAAACCTTACCTACTTACGCAAGAATCGAATAATAAATAATAAAAACTGTGATTTTGTCCCATGTTAATTGATTGCCCTAGATAGATAGAGGTTACCATACCAAAACTGTTATCAATCGTAATCATTCTTAAAACGATTCTGGAGGCTTTGTGATTTCATTTCACATCAACTCAATCGTCACGGTGACCGCGTTCAGCGTTGTATTGGCTCCAGGGCCAGATTAACATTAGGCCACAGATTAAGAGATATGTACATAGTATGCATTAGGCCATCAAGAAAAGAGCGTAGTCCTTCCTAAAAGGCCGGCAATGCGTTTGTGACTCCTGAGTTGCAGACGTTCATCATTTTCCATCAGGTGACCCTCTGCTCGTCTGCAACCTCTGACATAAAAAATAAAGGCAGAGAAAGCCCCATTTCAATTAGATCTCTCATCTCAAAAAAAAATGAAAATGTTTCACAGTGAAAATAAACTTGGATTTGTATCCTCAACGACATTCCGTCGTTTTGTTTTTTTTCGACGCATGCTGACAGTTGATAAAATACTTCATATTTCCAGAACATAACTATCTGGAAAAGAAGCAGAAATAATACTAAGGACGCCGTCTACGCGCCGCGCGGTTCTGGAGGCCTAGTGTGAGTTTATTCCGCATAAACGGATGAAGTTTATCCGCGATCTAGGCGCTTGCAACAGTGCTAAAATATCGGTAACTAATTCCCAAAAATAAACATGCTAAATATCTCTTTTATAATAACTTATAGTGATGAAATTATTGCTACTTTTTAATCATAATCATTTGATAAGCTTATTGGTTTTGGTTATAGCGATTTCACCTATGATAAATCACTACTATGATTCGGTCATAGACAAATGTCATCAAAACTAAAAAAGGAAAAAACCAAGTATTCTTTTGTATTTTCTTTTTATATAAAACTAAAAACTTTTTTTTTAGATTCAGAACACTACCACTGACTGCTACCAACAGACTCCATAAAGGAGTCTGCTGGTAGCCGACGGCGTAATCATAATCTTAAGGCCCAGTATTCACCAAAGCAGAGTGAAGAGGAGACGAGAGGAGATGTGCTGCTAAGCTGGCAGGTTATTTCCACAAAAGCGGGGAGGAGATGCGTGGCGGAGAGAAGAAGTGAGCTGTACACACTGCAGAGATGTAAGTTTTGAAAGCTCGAAACTAGTCACGTACTGTACCTAGCCTACCTACCTACTGTAGCTATGAAAGGACGACGTGATGTCGTTACTATAGTTATGTCTTAATTTGCTTGAAGAAAAGTAATTAGAGGTTGAAGGAATACGATTAATTCTTCAATATTTAAATTGTCTACGCCAACATAGATTCAGGATAAGAAACACTATAAAATGTCACAGTACGCCCACCCGTACGCCAACTACGCTCCGCTCTGCCGCACCTCTGGCTCGCTCGGCACAAAAATGCTATAGAAAATGAGACATCTCTTCTCCTCTTCGCTTGATCCATTTCCACCTAAGCTGAGTGGAGAGGAGATGTGAACATAACGAAATTTGATTGATCATTCAAAACACATCTCCTCTGGTCTCTGCCTTGGTAGATACCGGGCCTAACTTAGAGTGATTTTGTAAATTAGTCACTGGTGTCATTATATGTATATTGTTCGTATTTATAAATCATATGATTTATCACAGGTGACTGAATTTTATACCATCCATATAATAAGCCCTAGCTTATTAAAAAGTATGTACTTACATCTTTAGCAAATAACTCTTAGGGTAAATGAAAAATAATTTATGAAATGGATTTACAAATAAACAAACACTAAATTATTTCCTTCTGAATATTATTTTATAAAAAAATATTAAATATAATATTTAGCACGAATGTTCTTTGGACCGGACCAGACAGCAAGAAATGTATTCTCACGCTTCTCCTAAAATTCTTGCAGGCTGGAATTTTTTATCTGGTACCCCTATTTTTGTCTATTCTGTAGGTATTCTGTAATAAAAATATGAATTCTGCGATTCTGTCAATCACTACACTATTACTCACTTTGTTGGTTGTCCTTGCAGATCTTAAAGACCTTGAAGCTGACAATTAAAAAATTGTTTTATATTGGAAAATTTTGTTTTACAACATATCCATTCTTATTTCTTACAAAGCAAAATGTTTGGAAAAAATATTATGAGTGTAGTAGCGCGCAACATGTATGCTGCGAGAGCACCGATCATTACCAGAAACTTTTCTATTACATCAGAAAGGAGTGATATAGTAAAAATTCAAAGTTCAGATGATTTCAAGGATAAAGTCATCAATAGTAAAGTACCAGTGGTCGTCGATTTCTTCGCCACGTGAGTATTAATTTACAGCAATAGTAAAAACTATACTGCGATTTATTTTTACCAGTAACCCATTTCCATTTAATTCACAACACTACAAGGATTTTAAGAATAAACGCTGGGGCTTCGGTGAAATTACAGCATATTTATTACACACCATTATTAGCGTTTTATTAGTGAAGATTTGAAAATGAGGTAGGTGTGTTTCTAGAAAAGTATTAACCAACAGAAAGTTAATTGCATCGGATACTATTTATTACCCTGAGAGAGTAGATACTATGGAAATGAAAGTGATAAATTTATTTTAAGTACAACATGATAATGGAAGACTAAATAAATTTAGACTAAAAAGCCTAGGATTGTTAGTATTTTTAGCAACCCAAGATGTATATAACATGTATCTCATTATCTCCTATTCTGTTATTCTAAATAAAGAATTTAATTACATCCATATTTTATAAAGAATCACAAAATGGGAAAATTTAGTAAACAGATTTAACTATAGCCAGTAAAGTTTGAACAGTTTTAAATGTTTTATTAATATGGCATTAGTAAATTGTGGTGAGTGCTGATGCATCACAAGTACTCCTTAAACCTACCACTGGGTCACAATTCCCAGGCGCTGTTCATTGTTCATGTGTCGCCCCATCTATCAGGCACTAGCACGATAAATCCATGGAAGACTAAGAAATAGGCCTCATGATAATACTTGTTTTGTAAAACTGATTACTATATTAAAAAATTTCAGATGGTGTAACCCATGTAGGCTGCTGACACCTCGTCTCGAGTCAATTATTTCTGAGAGCAAGTCTAAGGTGGTCTTGGCTAAGGTTGATATTGATGAGCAGACAGATTTAGCACTAGATTACGAAGTGAGCTCTGTACCTGTGCTACTGGCTGTTAAAAATGGAAAGGTTCAACAACGCCTTGTCGGTTTGCAAGATACAGATAAACTGCGCAAATGGATTGAACAACTTACTATTGAAACTAAAGCTGAAGTTAAAGCCTAAAAAGTATCACTGTGTAAATTAACTTATTGTTGTTACCAAAATTTTTAGTTGCTATATAAATAAATGAAAAAATAAACTACTGGTTATTCTTCTAAGCATTGTATTAAATCTCTAGCTCTTTTGTAAACAATTTCGTCAGGTTTTTTACTTTTAGGAGCTTCATCACTGTTATCATTATAATTATTATCCTCTTCATTAACAGTTTCGGCAGTTAGCGGATCACTTTGGGACTCTGTCCACTCATCCATTTGTTTAATTATTTTACTGGCATCTTCTAATAGCATCTTTCGTATGTTTCCTTGAGCAGATTCGAAGTATTCTAAAAGGAGGGGCCATGATGAATCAGGTAACAAAGTTGCTGAGAACTTGTTTTTATACAACCAAACTTGTTTGGCTTTCATAAACTTCCAGTTTGCTTTGTCGTGTTTCCACTGAGATAGATAATTAAGGCATTGACTTTTAAGTTGGTCCTTCGCAATAGCTTGAGCCTCAGCTTGACGTTCAGCAAACTTCTCTCTTTTCATTTGTCGTATAGATTTTTTGCCTTTTTTATCGGTTGTAGCAGTTTCCACTTGTTGCTTCTTCTTTTTCTTTTTTCTCGGCAATTCTTCATTTTCAGAGTCATTATCGTTGTCTTCATGCTGCCTTTTCGTAGAACCGCTTTTAAAAACATTATCCAAGACAACTTCTGTTTCATTTGCCTCATGCTCTACATGATCTGATTTATCTTCTTGAGGATTGTCGTTGCTGCGTCGGTTTTTCTTTTTGTTGCGGTTTTTATTCTTCTTTTTATTATGACCCATCTTCGACTCGCCGTAATTCAACGAGTTATAGGCGTGTTTATAAACTGTAAGTGTGAGGTTATAAACTTGTAGTGTTGCCGCTTGATAGTTCACATTCGATATTCTAAGTAAAAACGATAGTATCGATTCAATCGACTGAACTGCTCTTCATCGATACCTTTGGCAGTTTTATACTATCGTATCGAGAGTGACATTTATTTCAATAGCATTGGATGCAACAGGCGTACGTTATGTTTCTCAATATAATTTTTTACATTATATTTGAAAGTCAGTATTCACCCAAGCATAACCACAACGTGTTGTGAACTAGTAGTTTGTAGGTGTAATACATGACAATTATATGTATATAATTGTCATGTTATTACACCTAGGTACTCATTTTATTGTCACTCAAGTCACAGTAAGGACAGGATAATTGTTGAAAAGGTAAATGTAAGATATAAGATAATTCAAAAAATCAAAGTTTTTTGTTGGAAATAGACACCAAAAATGTAATCTGCCATTATTGCTGCAAACTGCAGACAAAACTGGATATTATTAATAGAATCGATAGTTTATGCAATATAGCGAAGCAACACTATCGAAAGTATCGATACGATCAATTAAATAGTATATTTGCATAATTCCTGCAATATAGGCAACGGGAGTGATGGATAATAGAAATATAGTTCCATCTATTTCTAGTCAAGCTCTGTGGTTGGCTGGGGAAATTTCTAATTTCCCACCTTTTCTACGCCCAAAACCATTCCCACTTCCCGATAGCCAATCGCAGCTTAGCTAAACAGAGACGGAGGGAACTATCGGGCATCCATCTCTCTCGTTGCCTGTATCGCTTCCACTTACAGGCAGGCGTAGCCCGTGGCACCCGTGGTCTCCCTATGCCTTATCTCTATGTATATTTGTGTTTCGCCATCGATACAATACTATTAGTATCAATGGTAGTGATGTGCCGGATCGTTAACAAAGTATATCCGCGGATACGGAAAATCTAGTGAAGAAATGAAAATCTAGTGGTGTGCGTCATGAATTACATTTTTTGTGGCAGTACTAAGTGTAGTCTTAAACTTAAAATTTACTTTTTGACTCTTGAAGTGGCTCAGGGTTTTTCAATAAATGTAACGAATTGTCGCCTGTGGTAAGTTGACCTAACTTAAATAAATTTAAGTAAATTTAGTAATTTATTTGGAAATTTAGTAAATTTTAAGTTTAAAACTACACTTAGTACTGCCACAAAAAATGTAATTCATGACGCACACCACTAGATTTTCATTTTTACTTCATAATAGGTCTAAATTTTTATGTTGGTTAATGTAAAAACACAAGTAATTTTCTGTGGAGTCCAAAAATGCGAGTGGTAGTGCAATTAATAAGTAAAACTATCGCTTTTGAAGAGGGAAGGAAATATAATTTTCTTCTTTTCTTGCTGGTAGCTATTTGCCACTAGACATTGCCTTTGCTGTCTGTATCTTTTATATTATAAACTGTACTATATTAAGGAGGTACCTCCCTTGTAGTCTTTAAAATTTTTCAAAGTCAATCGTGCTATTTAAAAAATCTAAACAACGGTAAATAAATTTTAATTAGGTTATGGAAGAATAGAAGATTAGTTTAGCTCACTCACAAATTCAAGTCAATCAAAACAATCTCATTGCGATCAATCAAATCGCAATCCAAAACACTATTGAATCTCAAATCTCAATTCACACAAGCTAAAAAAAAGCTAGCTGACGGCGCAGTCTAATAATTCCCATTAAAATTCATCTCAAAATAGAAACAAACAACAAAAATTACGAATTATTTGTCAGACTAATTATTATACCCATAAAATAATATTATTTTAAATAGAATTGTCAGTCAATTAGTGTCCTTAATTATTTATCTATGTAAGAAAAATAAATGTAAAAATTAAAAAATAATAGTGCAAGATTATTAAAAGGGAATATTTTGATACATGTCTATAATAGTTTGCCCTGAAATTAAAAGTACCTGGTCACCCTGAATCATACCAAATTGCAATTTTTTGGCACGTCACAGCCGCGTCATCATGTCTCCGTGTCTGCCTTTATCAGTTTGGAATTAATTTGTTCGACATTAACATACCTTATCGACGACGTATATATGAACTATAAATTTTGGGTGGTTTTTGAATTATAGACATAAGATGGAAATTTTAAGTCAAGCTTCGAACACGCAGTTTATGTTCACTGCTGCGGCTGTGGCTGTTGTTTTAGTATGCGCAGCATTGGTATTTGTATTCGGGTTTCATTCAGCAGAACAGCCGCAATTTGATAAGCTTCCTTTGGTTGTGGACGATAGAAAATCATCCAACAAGAAGAATAAAAAAAAAGACAAGGTGAGTACAAACAATATGTTGTGCAGTCCCGCCGTTGTCATCAGTGTGTGCTCATTTTATTTTTAACCTGAAAGCATTATTAAGTCCTGTAGCAACCGGGAGTCTAAAATTTAAAGGTATTGACATTAGTCTTTCTTGTATGTCAATTGTTAGGAGATCACATTAAAATTCTAATTAATAAATTCTAGTAACAAAATAGTCAATTCTGTTTAATTCAATTCTTTTGTGCTTACATTGTAGTTTCTTGTTTTGTAGAAGTCTTCACCCAATCGCACTGTGTCTGATGATGTGAAGACTAAGTCTGAAAACTCTAAAAAGTCTCCATCTAAGGAGGAAAAGGTAAAAGAGACAGAGAAACTGAAACCTAGGGAGAAACCTGCTGAACTCAAACCTGTGAAAAAAGATACCCTAACTAAAAGTAAGAAGGGTAAGGTTGTTGAAGCTGAAAAGCCTGCTGATTTTGATGATGGCGGATGGCAAGAAGTACCTAAGAAAAGTGATAAAAAGAAGACAAAGCCTGCTGAAGAGAAAGAGAAGAAGAAGGATAGTCCTACCAAGAAGAATAAAAAGGCTAAGGATGCTGATGTTGAAGCTGCTCATCCTGTGATACCTGTTGAAGACGAACCTGTTGAAGAAACTATCAAGGTTATCAGTGCTGAAGGACCACAGGTGGATGAGGATGCAGCTCGTGCTTTGCAAGCACAAGTTGAAGAGTTGCAGCGGGTTTTAAAGGAGGTAACTATTGTAGCATTATACCTATATTGTCCTTTTAGACCAAAATAATGAAGTTTTATGATTTTATGATTCTTTAACTGCTAAGTTTTCATAACTTAATATTATATATATGTATATATATATATATATATATATATATATTTTATATATATAGTATTGTAAATTATTCTTCTTTTGTACTAGGCAAACATAATAATAATATTTTTACAATCTACTTTTTATAGAGAGAGCGCCGTGATCAAGCTGCTCTGGCTAGCAATGAAGATGAAGAATCCCCTGATGTGGATGAGTTGACTGATGTAAAAGATCTCAGGAGTAACAAGAAAAAAGAAAATAAAGAAAAACAAATCAAGAAGAAAACTGTAGAGGTGAGGAATTCAATTCAAATATACAAATATTGATTCTTTGTCTAAAAATTTTAAGTGTCTATACTTTATTTTATGAAATAATAAAACTATTAACACTGTCTACATAAAAATATGTTTTTCGCAATCTTTTAATTTTCACAGATCTTTCTTTGATAACATTTTTGAATTGTTACATAGACTGTGCCAGCAGTCAAGTCGGCACCCAAACCTGAGCCTGAAAAAGACAACTCTGACTCAGAAAAGCAAGAAAATCAAAAGGCAGCTGTATTCGACGAGCTTGGTGGTAAGTAATAAGATCTGTTATTTATGATCTGTTATATATGATGATATTATCTTAAGGAGATCTTAAGGACATAAGTTACAATCAGTGGTAAATTACAATATTACTGTTTCATTCTAAAATAATCTATAACTTTTTTTTGTTACAGACACTTGGACTGATGCTAAAGTGTCGAAAAAAAGCAAAAAAAAGGCCCGCAAAGACCAGTGAGGGGTGAGTACAGGGACCGCAGTACAGCTGGGCGCATAATGTCGCCTCGTTAGCTCAATGCCACACACATCTGATAAAATTACGATCTAACTTCTCTGCTAAGATACTTGAAGTGAACACATCAATCTGTTGCCATTGATACAAACCTCATCGAAAGCTATGTCTAAATTACTACTCAGTTCAGGGTTGTAGTTTTACAGGGTGTGAAAGTTGTTTATAATTATTAAGTTTTAATACTTTAAATTTACTTTACACATTCAGTTAACTTTCGTCCATGTTTTTAGTTTCATATTTTATTGTACAATAAGCTCGTTGACTTGTTTTTCATAATAATTTAAGTATTGTTTTCAATAATAACGCATAATATTTTATGAGTCATAATCATAATTCAACTGTATTTGGAGAACTTTAATGTGAATTTTGGGAATCTGCAATATGTTCCCTATACATACTTTATTATTAAGAAGGTTTTAGTACTCTTGTCTATTGAAGATATATAGGCCGAAGGTATATATTAGCGCGCGCAATTGAATTTGTTTTATATAAGTTATGGTTTACCTGCGACATACTTTAAATGTTTACCAAGTCAGTACATAAATATTATGTAAAACGAAACTACACTATTAAGTTATTGAATAGGTTTTCAATATCATCTGCTAAGCAGCACATGAATACCAACCAGAGTGTATTTATTTTCTTCTAAAAAAGATTTTATCTGAATATGTTTATGCTGCTGTAAAACATCGCGCGCGTTATCCATGAATAAATATGGTAACTTACCTCTTTCTTTACCTAATATAGTCCTTATGGTATTATAAGCCGTTATACTTCTAGCCGTAGAACTGTATAACCGGTAAAATACATTCAAGATCTTCTGGTGCTTGTAGTAATAAGTCTCTTACCTCCTTTCATTCCATTTGCGTGCATTTCATCAATTACTAATATTTGACGTAGATTTTATTCCTCCTAATTTCTATAAATTAATATTGATTGTATAACTGTTATTAAATTGGACATTAACTTATGGTTTGTTCAATTTATTGTGTAAAACTTATTGTTGTTGTGATTTACCCATGACAAAATATTATGTGATGAGACCTGAAATTGGACCAAAACGAATAACGCGCGGTTTTATGTCAACGTCGTTGTAATGTTACATAAAGTTTTAGTGGATGCCTATTATTATGTTTTACACTTTAGTAGAAGTTGTAATTATGTATGTACCTATATTGTGTTTGTTTCGCACATAATAAAAAGTGTAAATTTTCCGTCCGGACACATTTTGCTTTGTCTAAAGTTGAGCATATACAATCTATTTTTATTTGAGTATAACCCTGCATTAGTTAAATCAGTCTACATATCCACATTGCTTAGAGTAAAGTTTATAAATATATTCTATCGTAAATTATATAATACAGTCATTGTTTATTACGATGACGACGATAACTATTTTATTGCAGATTCCTATTTGTAAATCTAGTTTTAAGAATAATTCTAGTATAGCGTCGCTAAACAATCATTCTGAAATGTCGAATGCAAATAATTAATTATTATTAATTGATAGGGTAAAATGCGAGCATGGTTCAATGAGTTTAGTTATTTGCAGCTAATATAGATATTTTCTATGGAACATCTATAAATAATATTTATTTTGCAATACTTTTTATTTGTCTTAGACATCGGCTGTGAAATGTGTGTAGTGGCGGATACTTACAGCGTATGACGTATATACCGATGTACTACTGCATAAATATGTGTATTTATCTCGCAATATTCGTTTTATTCACTTGTATTTATTTATTTATGCCCTTGATATTACTTTGTGATATCCATTAGTGCCAGGGCTAGTAGGGTCTGTAGTACTTTCGTTGCAAGAGTTAGTGAGAGTGTCCATATTACGATTTTGATAGCACTGTTTTACCATTCATTTTGTTGTTCTGTATTTAGGCATATCATAAGAGATTCCTGTTACTTAAGGTTGTTTAACTTTGAGTTTATAAGTTTCCTTGTAGTCTAATTCTGTACTTAGGGCCTAAATTTTAGGTATTTATCGTCTAGTGAACTGTCAAAGATGAATAAAATTCGTATATCGATAAAATAGATAAAATATAAAAGATATTTTTGGCTTCATATTCTCATATGTAGTGATTAGCGACGGATACCGCCTGCCAACCAGGTGGGGTGCGGATGTTGCCAACCAGAGTGACCGTATCTTGATAATGTTGTTGTTTTATAGGCTCTAATGTAATTAATATAATGAATGTGTAATATAAATATTTTTTTAAAATCAATAAAGAGTGATATTGATAAAATCGTATTATTAATCCCAAAAAATTGCCATTATACTTTACTATATTTACACTCAGCTTTTGTTTAGCGATCTAGGCGAAATAAAAGAATTCATCATTACAATAATTGTATAATATGAAAAACCAGTAAAAAATGAGATTCACAGTATGCATGTATACAATATCATAATATTCTAACAAACGTTTCTAATAGGTGATAGGTCTGAATAAGGTGATGCGTATCGACTGGCTACACTAGGCGTTTGTGAGGATTAATTAATTTGCATAAAATTATTCAGTCGAATAAATAGTAGGTACTTAATAGTTATGATTAATACATTGCGACAAATTGGTGAACGTAACTTTATTCAAATATGGAAGTATGTTTCTCTCACTTTATTTTATTTGTTTGTTGTATAATATAATTACTAATGAACACGAACCTTTTGTCTTCATATAATAGAAATCACGTTTGAAAAACAATATATTTTGAGACCCGAAGCGCGTATTTCTAATGTTGTTGCAGGCGTCAGTGGGCGGCGGTAGTCGCTTTTGTATGATCTCTATCATAAACAAATGTTGACGGACTTAGTTACTTGTTCTTATAATAGAAAGAATATTTTTGCGAATGTGTTTTACGTCTGGCCAGCGTGTTATAGTAGGCCAAAACCTCCTTTTTAAGGAGAGGCCTATGTCCAGCAGTGGACTGTTAAGAGGCTGTTGATGATGATGTGTGTTTTTATGTAAAGCAGTTAAAGTTCCGAATCACTTTTAGCCCTGAATTTATGATGTGATTTGCGCGTGGGTGGCGCAGCACTCTTGCTCCTCGGCTTGCGCTTTATTCGCCGTCGCAGACGACGTGTCTTGGAGGTACCCTGCGTAGGCAATGCTTGTGGTCGCGGTGCCTTAGTTTCCACAGCCACATTCAAACGAGCGAACATGTCATAATTTGTTATTGCGCACATTTTACCTGAAAGCAAACAATAAGAAATGTAGGTGTTGTAGATGTGTGTTGTATCATAGGTTTTTTGTATCATAAATTAATGACTACTTTCATATGATTGAATAAAAAATTGTAAATTCCTACGTGCGAAATTTAAAAAACGTCAAAAATAACTTGTGTATTTCTAATTTTGTACAACCAAATCGTTTTCACAGACCGGCTCGGAGAGCATCGGACGTCGCTCTCCTTTTCATACAGACCGGCGCGGGTTATACAGGCCGGAACCCACTGGAGGTCACATAGAGCGGCATGAAAACGCATTGCTAAACCGGATGCGATCAAAGCCTAGCACCACAGAGCGCAAGGGCGGTTTATCTCTAGTCCAAGTTTAGTTTTTAATCTGTTAATAAGTGTGTTTTTAAATTTAAACAAGAATGTATATATGTTAGCTCAAGCGGTTGTCAGTAAACGCGGCAGAGCAGCCGATCGGCTCTTCTTATTGTTTCACACTGAGTGCGTTGGGTCAGCTCTTAAGCATTCTCATTTTAAAAAGACGTATTAAATGTCAAAATCAACCTTATTTCAATACCCCAAAACTCGTTTTAACCCTATCGATAAACATTTACGCTCTGAGCCGGTCGGTGTGAACGGACCCTAAAGCAGCCTTCTCGGATTAAGCTTCTCACAAGTCACTACTCTTTTTACCTATATAGTATTTTATAACGTGCATTTGTGTACACAATAGTAGTATTTCGTATGAATAGCATTTACATAATAAACATTTATAATTTTTAATATTTACACATGATGAATTTTTACATATAAAAATAAAAATATTTATATATATAAATATAAATATTTTTTTAAAATATAAAAATATTTAATTAATTACAAGCACGTGACAAGTGCTTCGGATAGTATTTAGGTATGTCATGTAGGTGGGAACCGAAAGTCTGTTAATCGCCCTTGCGGTGGGTTCATGCTCGCTAACAAATAGCATTCGTTTACATGACTTGGAAGATTTTATTGTCTTTCACCGTGTCAATAAATGCAAGTTGAAGGTGTGGTCTTAGACTTAAGTAAGAATATAGGACACCATATCGCCACTCAATACAAACGAACATACTTATCTTGTAATTAATTGAAACAACATAGTGATGAGACTAATCAAAAATTCAAACAATGTAACTGCATGCACTTAATTACTAGAACGTACCGTTACAGTACTCTTCACCGCACTCGGGGCACGATAAAATTCTTGTTTCCGTTACCCCTGAACGATTTTTTGTTTTCTTGAGCATAGTATTTTTAGCATACTCTCTTTTGTCTTTCGCTTTGGTTTTGAGCTCGGATTTCCCCAATTCAATTAACCTAAAAATTTTATTTTGGAAAATAACAAACTATTCCTCACCTAAATATTAAATCGTTATAGATACTCGTATTTAGATAAACACATATAGAAAGCAGACATCATAAGGTATTTTGGTATTTCTTCGATAGATAAAATACTTCCTTTTGTCACCAGTGGAGAGCATTTTAACAACGGAAGTCCATCAATCTCAAATGTTTACTTTTGTGATGCAATTTAATTAGTTAAATTTGTTAACGATTTAAATCTTTAGCCATTATAATATGCCAAAAACTTCGCTTGACACTATGCAACTATGAGCTGGCAAACGTGACCAGGATACATTCTAAACTGGATAATTGTTTAGTTGGTAAGTGCAAATATTATATTGCGTAAAATGTTTTACTAATTAAAGATAAACTCCAAGATTGAAAATACGTAATAATAGGATATGGACGGGGCACAAGCACTATGTTTCTTTGTGAGCAAACGAACGTTGACAAGGGTAAAAGGTAGGTATGAAGTTGTTATTTGCACAATTTTTAAAGCTAATAAAAGGTGCAAGAAAGTGAAAAATAAGGGAGGAAATTGTAGTATCTAGTACAAAAATAAAAATGAAACAACATAGTTGCTGATTATGATGGATTGTGTGCAAAGGAGTATACATAGCATATCATCTTACCTGTTATAATATTCTTCATCTTGTTTCGATTTAGGCCGAACGGAAGTGAGCATTCGCCATTCGATAGGTACAGCACATAGTTCTTCAAACTTAAGGCCGCGCATCTCCACTGGTACAGGGTCCATAAAGGTAAAGTGTTTCTCTTCGTACCCTCTCGTTCCCAATGTTTCGTAGGCACGAATTTCTTTCCGAGATGTCTTTGTCTTATTATCCTCCTTTTCTTTAATCTTCACATCTTCAGGTCTAACCTAACGAATTGCATGATCAGTTTCGTGAAAAGGGATCAACATAACAATTTTACAGTAGATACCTATGCGGTTATTGCATTCTCTTATTACTATTATGTATTATTCAATTTCGTCCGACCGTCCGTCGTTTCGTCGGTCCGTGTGGTGACGGATTAAGAATACAGAGTGTCACCACCCCTATCCATCCCGTGAGTGTCGTAAGAGCCGACTAAGGGAAAAAACTACGCAGGACAACAGCACTGCAGAGAGAATGAAAACTTGACACAAACCCTATACCAACCCGTCTGGCCAGCTTGGTATAGTAGGCCAAAACCTCCTTATGTCCAGCAGTGGACTATTAAAGGCTGTTGATGATGATGATGATGATGATTATTCAATTTTATTTTTGTTATGTTTATTTATTTATATTTGGGAAAGCTGACAGATTAATATTAATACAGACAGCTGAGTAGGTAACACTGAAATTGCTAATAACAAGCTTCCACATATAAAAATTATGGTGTGCAATCCCTTATAGTTTTAAAATTTAGTATTGCCTAAATTTTCCTCTATTTTCGCCCAATACGAGCCTAAAAGACGGAATAACCCAAATACATGTAGCTTAAGATTTACTTGACAACAACTTGAACACAACTATCAACAAAACAAACCTATCTTTATTTTAAAAACATAGGTAACCGTTACTTATCTTATATATTTTGAAAAGTGGAAAGTGGAAAGGGTTTCAGGGCTTCAAAATATATCATGAAAGTTCACGTTTATTTATTTTTTATTTGTAAGTTATATAATAAATTTAATTGTGTCTGTTTGGATTGAGGAGCCTCTTTTCATATATTAATTAAATTAATATTATTATTTAGTAGTAAATATAAAAAAAAGTAGCCTCGATCCTCGATTTTGTAGTTTAATACTTTAGAGTTCAACGACAATCTAAATGTTTGGATTGAACAGCCACGTCACGTCACGATTTTGTAGTATTTAAGAGTAGTTAGCAGACAAAATCTGAGCTCAGTTTCGTGAAAAGCGATCGACATAATAATTTCATAGTAGATACCTATACGGTTATTGCATTCTCTTATTATTATCTTATTATAATTTTATTTTGTAATGTTTATTTGTTTATATTTGGGAAAGCTGACAGATTAATATTAATACAGGCAGACAGCTGAGTAACACTTAAATTGCTAATAACAAGCTTCCACATATAAAAATATTATGGTGTGCAATCCCTAATAGTTTCAAAATTTAGTATTTCCTAAATTTTCAACACAACATGTCACTATCCGACAAAGGATGAGATGTTTTGTTACGACGACTATGATTCTCAATGTAAAATTCGTGAAAGCACCGACCCACCAATATTACTTCATTGTATAACGTATGTCCAAATAGATTAATAAATACTTTTATAACTGATGAATTTATGTATATTCCTATTTATCGATAATTGTCGATTTGTTGAAAATGAAATACCCAAAACTAGTCCTTGTGATTCATTGGATTGGATTTTGAAATGGTCACCCTAAATAGCGAATTCATAAGGAATATCAAAAACTAATTTATTTTTCAGATATCGAATATACACAACGTTGATCTGTCCATATTTATTTAGTAGACATTTATACTAAATGTCAGTGTCTCTAGCTTTTGTATCTGTTGTAATCTCAGGTAGGTACAGTCGATTATTTATTTTGCAGAACGTCAGGATTGAGGAGCCAAAAAAAATGCGTTTATTTACTAAATCCACTCTGTTTTACTACTGCTACTAAATGTTTTTGGAGTGAAATATAATTTTTGACCTATTACTTTCATGGCAATTCACGCTCCTAAATATAGATTGAGGACCCACATTAAAAGTATTGTATATTCTTGAATATCATCAGTACTGGATTCAGAGTTTTTGTAGGCACTATACACAATTACTACTAAATGATACAAAATTTGCAAATATAATCATTAAATACTTTCTGTGTTTCAAGTGGCTTCTCAATTCAGACGTTTACTACTTTGGATATATCTTACTACAAATTTCAGAATTTGTCCTATAAATTTGCTAACCTACTAAATATAGGGTGAGTTTCCGTTAAAAATCCGTTTAAAATCTAAAGGGGCAATTCTCAATCCATATGGACAGATTTAATTTCATATAAATAATTTCATTCAATAGATGTATAAAACTCTATGTGCGCTTTACTCTACTTTCGCTATACACATTATCATAGATTCGTAAAACATGCATTTAAATTCAATAAATTTTCAAAAACGTAATATTAGGTAAATAAAAGATCTCTCCAAACCTGAAAACATAGCAAGTAAGATAAAGAAAGTTAAGGACTCAGGTCCCCAAACATCTTTCTACAGCTCAGGCTCTAGAGGATGTTTTTATCATCATCATCAACTTTTTAATAGTAGGCTTTAATAGTAGACATAGACCTCTCCTTAGAAAGGTGGTTTTGGCCTACTATACCACGCTGGCCAGACGGGTTGGAATAGGGTTTGTGTCAAGTTTTTCTTCTATTTGCAGCGCTGTTGTCCTGCATAGTCTCTTACGACAGGCACGGGATAAATATGGGTTAGGACGCTCCGCATTCTTGATCCGTCACCATTCGGAAGGATGTTTTAAAATTATTAAAACATACTGAGTAAAATTAAACAATCTCTACTTTAAAACCTGCACTGTAATGATCTACTTTATAAAGTTGTGATAAGACGATTTATTTAATTCAAACTAACGTTTTCCTAAAAGTAACAAGAAATTAAAAAACAGTATCTAAGTAGTATTTCATATTCTATACCGTTCACGTTTATCCGTAGGTATATCTTAAAAACTTTGTACCTAATTATCCTAAGTAGTTTACCTACCTTTTCGGGTCGGGTCTTGAAATCAGGCACTTTGTCTAAAACTGCTCTGTACTCTTCTGCAGTATTTATAATAGCTTTAGATAAATCCAACATTGGTGCTTCATCTTTCTTTTTATCGAACAAGTCATCAGACATATTTGCAAATATAAAGCGGGTGAACACAGCAAACAAATTTAAACGATCCTTCCGTATCGATTCAACGTTGCTACGAGTTCACTAGGAAACTACCTACGTTGAATCTATACCGGGTAATGTTCTTCATAAAGTAATTTTCTTCTACGTGTTGCATGACTAGCTAAATTGTGTTAATATTGTCGTAATAAATAGGAATGATTAAAACTTAGGCTTTATTGCAAAGTTCTCTCGGTCTTCATTTTTCTCTAAATACTCTCTTTTGGCAGTATTTAATTGGTCAATAATTCTTTTTCTGTTTTCCACGTCAAAAAAATTCGATTTAACGTGTCTTTCGTTTACGTCGTCGATCCACAATTTTCTGTTTCCGTATTTATCATTTATAAATTTCTGTGACAAAGTCATTCTTTTTACAGGAGATGTTTTGGGCGATTTTTTGTTCTCAGAAATGTCGTTCGCTGTTATCTGACCTAGATTATTAAACTCTGATTGTAAATTTGTACAATCAGACATATTATTAGATTTAGAATCTTGACTAGATCGTTTACTTCTCCAATATGATTGACTTAGCGAGTTGCGGTGTTTAACGCTGTTCTCGACAGTTTTTTCTGATCTAGTAGGCGGACTTGGAGAACGGCTATCTTCGCTAGAATGTGATAAATATTGTCTTGCTTGAGGCCTATATTTTTGTCTCATTTTTCTTTTTTGACTGTAAAAAGGATCTTTTTCACTTTGTTTTTTATACTGGGCTACAGGCCTATTGACTCCCCATTTAGGGCGATTTTCTAAATCTTTTTTATATCTTTCTTCAGACCGGAACCGTCTATCTTTTTTCAAAGTATTGTGATGACTATCTTGTGGTGCATTTTCATCAATATTTGGATAATCCTTATCAATATTTCTTTCTAACTCATCCGTCTCTACCAATTTATCGGTCGTATTCTTAAATATTGAATCGGTTTGAGTAGACACGTCTTTCATTCGTAATGTACGATATTTGTTTGGCGTTAATAATTTACCGACCTCTGTTAGTTCACTTGTATTGTTTAATGGGTTTAATGATACGCTGTATAAACTATTGGCCACGTTTTGTGGAACAAGTACTGCTAGCTGTATGTTATTTGGCTGTGTATTTATCACTTCACTGTTATTAGTCATGCCAATCGGCACGATATTAAATTGACCATCTGTTAGGGCTAGTGGAGGCACGCTATGTATAAATAAGTTTAAGTTGCTAGGTACTTGAGATCTTGGTGAATTAAATTCGGTTGTTTGGTGAGAATGACACTCCCTTTTTAAACTTTTTGCTGAATGCACATCATATGTTCGGCTAGTTTTAGAGGGACTTGTAGCTTCGACAGTTAGAGGAGTAGTTACAGTGGCTTCTGCTTCTGCTTTTGTTTTTACCTCATCGTTAACATTGGGGACTGCAGTTCGTTTATGAACTGAGAATCTTTTTTCTTTATCTTGCTTAGCTTTTCTCTCCGCATCTTCCAGTGCTCTCTTCAATGCATCCAATTTTTTTTGTTCCATTATTTGCTTCTCTTCCATTTTGCGTCTTTCTTCTTCTAGTCTTTGTCTATCTTCTTCTTGTTGTCTTTGGATACGTAGTTCTTCTAGTCTCTCTTCTCTTAACTGTCTTTCTCTTTCTTCTTGACGTCTTTTCTCTCGATCCTCCAACTGACTTAAAATAGCTGACTGTATTTCTAGCGCTTTTATACGTTTGTTTTCTCGCTGAGCCTTGATTTCGGGTTCGAGTGGAACGTTTTGTCCTCTAAGGAATGTTCTGTGGATATAAAAACTATTTTATCAACTATGTTTTTTCTAAGCGGAAAATGTTTGTGTACAATTATAAAGTTTTTTCTTACCTTCCTTCATCGCTACCATTGCAAGATGATCTATCACAGTCTATTCCTGTACTGTTACTCGAACTTCTTTGGTCAATGACTAGAACTTCTGAAGCATTTTCAATCATATTCAAACCTCGTTCAACCCATGAAGGTGTACCTTTCTTCTGATTTGGCATCTATTGAAATAAAAAAATCTTAATATTTTTTGAAAATTTGTTATGATGTTTCATGTGGCAGAGCCTTTAAAAAATAGATCAAAAACCAAATGTTTTAATTGGTTTCCTTGAATAAAAAGTATTTGCACCTAATAAAAACATATCAGTTTAAAAAAAAAGATTTTAGGATTTTCTTTTCTCTCACGAATTTACGTATTTTTTAGCTTCTTATAATTCGTTATGGTCTACTATACGATCTTAAAATATGACCACTCCAAAGAAACTTGAACACAAAAATTAATAAGATTCATATGTACTAATATTGTAAATGCAAAAGTATGTCTGTCTGTCTATTTGGCTGTGTGGTCATACAAAATACTAAACCGCGGCATCGATGTAGATATCGTTTAGTATAGAGTTTTCATATTTGCACAAAGAAAAGCGCAGACAATAATTTCACTACTTGTCAGTAAAACTTTCACTTACTAAAACCACTGAACGGCTTATTATTGAAGGAGCAGTATTATTAAAGGGCCTGTATTTTCCATTGTAGATTAGTCAAACAACCATGCACGAACAATTGAAAGATCTAATCCAATTAATTGACGCATGGTTGAATTAAAAAGGTTTACTAAACAGGGTTGTGGTGTACAAACAAGTCGCATTTACTCAAACATGGCATTCTTGAAAATGTTGACCACCTCCATGTTACGGTGGTAGGGCGGTTATATAAACTATACTATAATTGTCGAGATTCTCAAGTCATCAGTTCAGCCTAAAGTCACCCTTTACTTTATATTTTAATATTATGCTAACGGATTACTTTAAAAATATCCCCCACTTCAATGCTACATTATGATGAATTGTATTAAACTGTATTAAACATTCTTTCATTTCCATCCTTGGGGTGGTTTTTTATTTAAATTTGAATGGGACCAATTAAGTTTGAAATATATCCGTATACCCATAAGTGTACATCCGAATTGAAAACCTCCTTTTCTTTGAAGTCAGGTAAAAAATAGTCCTAACACTTCCTCAATGTTTTTGAACGATCTATTCAACGATACCCCAGACGACGCCACTATGGACGTTGATGTTGTAATTAATTACTGTAGTATTCTATCAGTCTATCTAGCTTTCATAGTACAAGCTCTGCTTAGTTTGAAACTAGATGGCGTTGTGTGTCAGATGTTATTAATTGGTTAATTAAGATGATGAGAAATAGTAGAATGTCTAATGTTGGTTTTGTCTTCACACTTAACTTGTTTTAAGATGTAATACAACAAACAGATTTCAATAATTCTATGTTTTATTATCAACGTTCACTAAAGCTTTAAAAAGTCTTATTTTCTTTTTTAACTTCTGAAAACTAATTTATGAAAGTTATAAAACTAATTACAGCTTGAAATAGGGGAATTTTACAAATTTTAAAATTAATATGACTAGGTACCTGGGGTAGTCTAGCGTTGGGGGCAGTGGGTTCCCAAAGACGGCCAGTTGCGACCCCTCGGTCGCCCCAACGCAAGCGACCTTCTTCGGCGGTCCGTGGGCTGCGGGACGACCACGCATCTGATGTACCTGTCTTTGCACCGCTCGATGTTCTGTTTTTTAAATTATAAATAGTCAGTAATTTCGGGATTGGTCGTTTTTAGGGTTCCGTACCTCAAAAGGTAAAAAAAGGAACCCTTATAAGATCACTTTCTTGTCCGTCTGTCCGTGTGACACCACCGATTTTCTCAGGAACGGGTAGACCTAGCAAGTTGAAACTTATACCAGAGACTGAGGTCTATGGTCCCTATTAGGTGTATAAAAATCAAGGTCCTGAGTCAACACGATAAAAAGATACGGGCAAATTTCGATTTTCGCGAAAACTTGCAAGTACCAAACTTTACCTTAATTTTCAACTTTTTTTATTTTTCAGTATTTTCTCTTTACTTGTGCTGTAAGACATTGCTTTTAACCAAAATTGACAATTCTAGGTCAACCGGAAGTAACCTATACATTATACCGAAAACCTATATGGTACCGTTGACCTAGAATCATTTTGGCAAAAAGAAACGTCTTATAGCACAAATAAAGGAATAATTCCAAAAAATTAAAAAAGTTGAAAGTTAAGATAAATTATGGTACTTACAAATTTTCTCGAAAATCCTTGTAAATTCTGGGTAGGTACGTAACCCTTGGCTTACGAGTTCGACTCGTACCTAACCAGTTTTTTTCGATTGCTACAAGTACCATCTATCGAATAGTACAACAGTATATACATTTAAATTGCGTAGATTATTTTAAGGTTCAAAGGCATTCATTGTGACGGTTTTTTTTTCTTATAATAAGTATAATATATATGTATAATAAATAATACGTTTCAGTTTATTTTACATTCATTACGTAACAATTCTCTCGTAACCCGAGTGTAACTACTATTTATCTTTTAATATCGTAATGCTCATTTTCCGCTTTCTACCATGATAAGTAAGTACTTATTGCATATTTTTAACGTAGATCGCATTACGGTAGTGGGATGTTTAAACACAATAAATATGTTTCTTAAAATGAGAAAAAAAAAACAGTGGGTTAAGAGTAGGCTACAATGAGGAAGTTCTTTTCGACAGATGTCTGTAAATAGTCCATATTTTTTAATATAAATTGGTGAAGTGAACTGTTCTGGACAGTTAGTCACGATTAAAATTGTCTATTTATTAATATTTTGAGCTAATTTCTTCCCAAAAACCGCGTTAAAACAACAATAAGTGATATGTGTGAACCATTATAAACAGTAGAATGGTTTTCAATCGTTAAACACAATATCTTGTGTAATGAAAAAATTTAAGACAAACCAACGAACTTCCTTAGATTCATAGTAACAAAAATTACTTAAAATTAAGTGATGATAGTAATGACGACAGTGCTGTTCAGTTTGATGGGTGCAAGCGCAATGTGTGCTCGAAATGTATCAACTTGACAAGTAGTGATACGAGACAAAGTAGTGAGGCTAGGGTTATGAGGCTCAAGTCGCGACGCACTCTGTTATACCTGTGCGCGCCTTGTTGTGAGGCTCTATTCCAAGTACCAAAATTAATAAAATTTATAATGCAGTGCGAGAAGAGCTGGATGACATAAAAAAACAACTCGCCAAGCAAATTTTCGGCCAAAGGAAACCTGCGTTTTCGCAGCCGACGACAAGTGCCATCGATGCGATCTCCATCATTGGAGAAATGGCAGTACGTGAGCGTCGAGCTAATAATATTATTCTAGTTGGTATAAAAGAGTCCAACTTGGATGATAAAGACAAACCCAGTGCCCATGACAAATCAGTAATTTAAAAAATCATAGAGGAAATTCGCTTAGGTCAAAAACACAGCTTTGAGCTGTGTTTTTGACCTAAGCGAATGTGTGCCCAGGCCTTTGAAAGTTGTTCTGAAGAGTCGATCTGATGCTGTCCACATTCTGAAAAACAAATCTAAAGTGAGTAGGGAGGTAAGAATCTATTATGACAGAACACCACAGCAACGAGAAGATCTCAACCAACTGCGCTAGAGCCTAAAAAAGAAAGAATAGATAAAGGTGAGATAGATATCACTATAAAATATGTTAACGGCATTCCAAAGATTGTCAAAATTAATAAGCAGTAAAACTCCATACACCAACCTCACGTTTTATAATACCAACTTATGCTCACTACCCGCTAAATTCGACATATTCCTTTTTGACATAAACGCACAAAAACCCACTTTCATAATTGTTACAGAAACTTGGCTTAATGACAGGAACAGTATCCATGCAATACCAAGCTACACTCTCTTTAGGAAAGATCGCAAAAAGCGGCCAAAGGCCGAAGGTGGGAAATCAAGGGGCGTTGGTGTTGCAATTTATGTCAGAAGCAATTTTAACCGCATCCCAATAATTGCACGCAAGAATAACCGGTATATGGCTGACATGGTGGAGGCGTTATACCTTGGTATACATTTTGCGCATTACCATTTTTACTAGTTGGAGTCTACCGTGCAGATACTAATATTAACTGGGCAGCAGACGACAAAGTAGTAGTAAGTCTAACTTAATAATATATCACATGCTTCTGAAACCAACACCATACTTATCATGGGAGTCTTCAACTACCCAGACCTCGTCTGGCTTTTGTGTTCAGACCAAGACCAAAGAAAGTTGTTTCAGGCTATGTTCTTTGACAGTAATCTCCATCAACTTGTATCCATCCCAACAAGATTTCAACAGAACAATATAACATCACTACTGGACCTCGTTATGACCAACGATGATTCTATGATATCCAATATAACCCATCTACCACCCATTAGCAAAAGCGACCACCAGCGACCAGAAAGTATAGAAGTTACTATGAGGCCGACATACTTAAATATGGAGACAAATGCTTCTATTCATACTTGCGTAGGTGTAAATCCTCTAAGGTTAGAATTCCACCTCCTATACGGAACTAGTTTGGCAACCTAGTGACTGGTCCACTGGATATTGGCTAATACGTTTGCTGAGGAATTTCATAAAGTATACTCTGTGGAACCAGCGATAAACAATAAATCTAAGATTAATGGCATTGAACACAGGTCTCCCTATGTGATATCTCAAATGAGGAAGAGGAAATTGCAAAAGTAATAAAGAACCTTAAGTTAAACTCTTCACCAAATATAGTACTAAGAAATATTGCAGGCCTGATTACTCCTGTATTGGCAAAAATAATGCGAACCTCCTTTACAAACAGTGGATTACCCAGGGATTGGAAACATGCCATAGTGGCACCTGTATACAAAAACGGTGATAAGACTGACCCGGCTAAGTTCAGACCTATAAGTCTCACCAGTGCTATAGGTAAATGTATGGAGAAGATTATATCAAACCATATCAGGTCATTCCTCAACAGACAAGACTTTATTTCTGTAAAACAACATGGCTTTGTTGGGAGGAGATTCACAGTAACTAATTTACCAACATGTGTTAACACGTGGTCAAAGGAACTTGATCAAAAAAGAAGTATTGACGTCATTTACCTGAATTTCGAACGTGCTTTTGATAAGGTTTCTCACAATCGACTATTGTTGAAACTTGAGCACTTCGGTATACGTGGAAATCTTCTAAAATGGTTTGAAAACTGCCTTGCAAATATAACAAACCAAGTCAGAGTCGACCCACTATCTGAGCCAATGAGTGGTATGACAGTGGCTTGGCGTGAACATAAAATAGCAGAATTGAGGCCCTGTTCTCTCACCTATCCTGTTCAACATTTTCACTACAGATTTAATAGCAGTGTGTGAGTCATGCTTGTGTGCATGTGTGCAAAGTGTGAGTCATGCTTTTTCGCTGACGATGGAAAGTTCTTTGGTGATCCTATCATTCGGTCAGGACAAATGTAATCAGACCTGGACAATTTACAAGAGTGGACCAAAGAGTGGATTGCGAAACTCAATGCATTCAAATGTATAGTACTGCGTCTAAGTAAGAACAACCCTGAAGTACCATACGCTAGGTGACAATTGTGTTACAGTCAAGTCACAACAAGATCTTGGAGTAACGGTGACCAGCAAATTAAAATGGGCTGACCACATCAATTATATAGTTATAGTTAAAAAGGTAAATTCTTTCCTATATGCCACGTGCATTCCAACACATGACACCTTCAGTTTTCACCAAAATTTATAAAACTTATGTTAGGCCTCCGACGGTTTTCAAGTTTGGACCCTCGCGATCCCTACCTTGTGAAGGACGTTGACTTGCTGCAGTGTGCAAAGGCGAGCAAGTAAAAAACCGAGCAACTAACAACATAAGACTTATGAGGAACGCTTAAGAGTATTAAATGTGTGATCTTATTGAGACCTATAAAATACTAAGCTCAAGATATAATCTCCCGAATATCAAAGACACGTTTCTCCTCCAGCAGAAAGCATACTCATCACGGGGACACATATTAAAAAGTATCGATAGCCGTCATGACTTCATACCATAATAACATTAAGAATATGAAAATTCATTTAAATATCATAACATAAATGTTTTCTACTTGATTTTCATACCACTGACAAAGATTCAGCATTTCTATCGGTACCTAAATCTCAGACTGATAGAAGCGAAAGAGGGGAGTGTAAAGTATTAAGAATAGTAAAGGAATAATATTGTTGACTCATTGACTTGTAAGAATAAGACAATTCAAATATTGAACTAACCTGTCGTCTTTTCTCTCTTGCTGCCACGCTACAACAGGGCCCTGGGTGCTGGGCTCATGTATTGTCCTATGTCCACTTTTGTTCATGTGATTGAGAGTCTCACTTCCGTAGCCAGAGGTATCGCCTTCTCCGTCTTCATCGTAAAATGCAAACCTCTTCGCACTCGGAATGTTTCGATTTAATATGTTGGTCTTCCTCTCATCTTTCGTTAATCTCTCCTCGGTACTGTGTATGGGTGGTAAGCTCGGGCTCCTCTGACGTGGAGCAGGTTCTTGATAATCGTAAGATGACTGTTTATGTAGCTCCAGAGTACTTGCAAATTGATTCCGCACTTGCAAACGATTTGTATATCGTTCACCGGCACCCCAAGGCAAGTACAGATGTGACATTTCCTCTGAAAGAACAAAACATTTATTTTTTACCCTTGTTAAAATAAATATGTTTTAAGTGATAATATTAGTAATAAAAACAAAACATCGATATTAAGGAAATAATACAAACGTTAAAAACGGTCCATTGTAGACCACTTTCTATTTGTATTGCTAAGAAAAAGTTGATGACTACCTTCCATGTCAACAGTCGTCTTTGAATTAACTGTTCAATTTTTTATTTGAAAAAAGATTCGACGAAAAGCCTTCCCCTATATGCAAAGGGTTTATAGTTTTATCGATACCGCAGCTGAAAACGGTAAGTCATTCATGCCAAGAAATGTTTTAAATAATTCTATAAAGAATAGTGTTGTAAAACCTCTATATCTTAAACATTTAATAAAGGAGAACACGCAACCATTACAAAAGTATAATGGTTACAGATTTATATTACGACGGCTATTATGTTAGGGTTAGAAAAAATTAAAATCTTTTATTTTATTGATATTACCCGTAGCATTCAAGAGGGCTACTTAAAATTTTACGTGTCTCTAATGTAAGGAGTGCAGTTAACCAGTTACATTAAATTACAGTCATTAGAATAAATGTACCCATTACATTTACATAATTACAAGACAGATCATCCAATAACTGTTTACTGCCGAATCCATAGCTAACTATAAATGTTATATATTACATACATTGTTTACCAAGTTTGAAGTTCTCTTTCGTTTAAAGTAAACAAGCAATAAGAAAAAATACTGCTTTATGGCGTGCATTTAAATATGAATTAAACAATTAAATACCAAAATTGTTACATTTATAAACAATAGGGATAATTACATAAGGATAAAAGCGACTTGACGACATAGTAAATCTTACTAATTATTGAAAGATAATAAAATTGTTTGATATCTTTAAATTATAACAGGATCGTAATCTATTAAGTACTTAAAAGTTCCTCCATTTAGTCCATTTTAAATAAAATAAATTCATACTGTAACCTAGGCCAATCAATTTTAGCTGGAGGTTTCGACTGCACTGGTTTTAGTGTACTTTAATAAAACAACCTGCCTACTCAATTACAATTCAAACAAATATTTTTTTCGAAACTAAAAGTGGGTGGTCTTACAACTCTTGGAGCACAGAGATATTTTTAAAACTTTGATATTTGTATCTTGATCAGGAAAACGACTTATTATAAAATAAACCATTTAAATAAAATACAAAAAACAAACATGTGGTGCATCTTTACTGTGCCTTTACATAATAAAATCGTCAACAGTCTTTAATAGTCCACAGTTGTACATAAGCCTCTCTTTAGAAAGGAGGTTTTGGCCTCCTATACCACGCTGGCCAGATGATCTTTCTTGTAATTACGTAATAAAATATTATGATGAATTTAAAACTAGATATTAAATGATTTAGGGCATCTCACATTCAAAAATGAAAAAATGCCTACTTAACTTAGGTATGTTTTAAGTAACCTACTAGCCGAGGCAACAGCACACCAGCGGCAGCGCGAGTATTAGTATTTTGTGTTACCCGAGTTAAATATTTAATGTCCATACGTGGCTACTCAAAGATGCAGGTCATTTAAATTACAATGATACAATGAACTTTCAGTAGAGAGTGAAATGTGCCGTTCTTCAGTCACGGCCTGAATAATTCACTATTTAATAACACTGGATCGATTACAGCCATTACAACTGTTATCGATTTATACGTTTTTGCACTACCTTAATCGAAATAGATATTCTTTTTGTGTTTCAATGAGTGGTTGACAGATAATGAAGGAAAATAACGGATCGCAAATGAAAAACAAGTGTACTGGCTAATAATGGTATATTATGTTTGAGTCGTTACGCTCTCGTGCGCAGCTCGCAGACCGTCTCTAGGCAGTAACGAGCGGTGAGTGTTACTATTAAAATATTTATAGCTGAGATGCTTATGCTTACCTAGCTTCTAATGCAAAAGTTGTTGATCGTAAACTTAAAAAATGAAGAAATTTTGATTACTTAAATCTGCTAATTTCAGTTATGATGTCATTTTATTATGACAATCACATTTTAGACATTTTAGATAAGAATATAGTCAATAGATCCATCAGTAATATATTATTCCTAAATAGAGTATAATCAGCGCCAAATATTGCGTTCGATATTTGCTCGATCGTCCTTCTTGACTTTGATCAGAATACTATTAAGTGACTTATGGCTGGAGTAATTTTATTACAGCTAAAATATGTGGAACACATAAAGTAAATTTAATAGTTTGCCAAGTTATGTATTTAATACTAAAAACGAGAATCGCTCTAAATCTTTAAGTTATTATTAGGTAAAAACAGTATGACATAATAAATACTATAAAATAGTGTTTTAAATGTACCTACTTATTTAGGTTAATATTTTGAAACTGAATAAGAAGTATGTTTTTTTTTACATTTACACAACGCCATCTACTCGTAGTCCCAAAGCAGAGCTTGATCTGTACAATTGTACTATTGTGCTTGTACAAGGTATTAGACAACTGACATAAATACATTTATATCTTTTTTTTGTAAATGCATATATATATTATACATAGAAACACCCAGACCAAGTCAAATATTAAATGTTCATGCACACAAATGTTTGCCTTGAGCAAGAATCGAACTCGCAACCTTATGCGTAGCAGTCCGTTACACAAACCACTATGCCATGAGGCCGTCATACAACTGAATTTAAAATAAATTTAATTTTTGAAATTGTCTTTCAATTGGCTGCGGCGGACATCCGTTTGGTGACGGATTAAGACATTCGTGTGGTGAGGGATTAAGAATATGGAGTGTCACCACTTCTATTCATTCTGTGGGTGTCGTAAGAGCCGAGTAAGAATTTGGTCCGGATGGAAGTCTTTCGCCCGGGCCCTCTCCGCCGCCTCCTACTGCAAGATAAAATCTTCGCAGTTAAGAGATTTGTCACTACCGGCCATGGAGCATATGACGGCCTTCCCACTCGACACTGACCGGCTGGAGCGCCTCTACCTTACCAAAGGCAGCACGTGGAGCCTCCAACCAACCTCCGCTAACAAGCCACCGTGACTCAGCGAGCAGCCTCTCGCCTCTCGCATACCTCTTCAGGCGGCGGATCCGGTCATAAACCGTAACCTTCGGCGAGCACTTCCGCCTCCAAATCCCACGGGGGAGTTCCCGCCAACGTGCACGCCACCTTCGTCTGGCCATCGCGGTATAAAAGGCGAAAACCTCCTTTCTATTGAGAAGCCAATGTCTAGCAGTGGACTATTAAAGGCTGTTGATGTGATGTGATGTGATTGAATCGGCTGATCCGTGATTATACTGCCTTAACTCAACGAAAAGTTAACAGGTTTGAAGATTAAAAATGCAGGATATACAATTAGGCTAATTAGTATAATATGTTGTTCAAGTACGTATTTAGGTATATATTTAGGTACGAGTATGAGTAGGTTGCGCCTATAATGGGGTAGATACCTGTCAAGTCAAATCAGTATCTTAACGTTAAAAGATAAACATTTTTGTTTTAAATGTTAAGACGTGACGTCATACCTAGCTATTGTCAAATCGTTTACTTTTAGTGTTGCTTTAAAGATATCAAAGAAATAAAAATATTAATTGATATTGGTGGATAATTCATAGTGTTCTTAAAGATGTTACATTTAAGGATTTAGACGAAATAATTTATTTTAAACCTAGAAATCTAGCCTGGTCTAATAATCAAACTTCAAGATCAAGATTGTTGACCTGCTAAAATAGTTTTACTAGCAGTATAAACTCAAATATTCTAACAAATGATGATATTCTTTCAGTACGTGTGTGCTATGTATTTATCAAAAGAGCAACACCCTATACAAATGACAAAGTAATGACTTTCGGGAAAATTATTTTATAGCTATTTCGGAAGGACTGAGGTCGTTGGTTTCCTTCAGCCTTGACAACTGATTGTTTCATCGGCTGTCGCCCACGAGTTCCTCAATAATAACAATCGTTTTGTATGGCTATTGTAATTCAGTAATGCTATGTTCACATTGTCATTTAAAAAGGCAGGAAACAAATTCACAGTGCCCTGAGGCAAATTAAACTATTTCCTGTGACGGAAGTCTAATACAGTCACTTTTTGAACTAATTGTTTGGCTATTCTGTTAGCGGGAACAATTTATTGATGACATATCTATAAATCTATCCGTACCTGAGTCTGACAGTCCTGGAGTCATAAGTGCTAACACCGAGACAATGATAGATAGATAGATTATGCAAATTAAAAATAATTATCCTAACTGGACTCGATTCTCGAAATATAATCACACCAACTGTTATACGTAGGTTTATAATATATAATAACTAGCTGACCCGGCAAACGTTGTTTTGCCAAAAAAATATTTAGGGGTGGGTCACTCTTATCATTTAGGGGTATGAAAAATAAATGTTGGTCGATTCTCAGACCTACCCGACATGCACACAAAATTTCATAAAAATCTGTCCAGCCGTTTCGGAGGAGTTTGGTAGCAAACACCGCGACACGAGAATTTTATATATAAAATATAATTGTAAAATCAAACACTATACTACGTGACGGTACGAAATTCAACACTATGGATTACCAAATAATAAAACGTTATGTTAGAAACATTCTTACATTAAATAAAACGGGTATATTTATTTTTTTACAAACATACATACTTTTTTATATTGGTTATCTTTTAAGTTAGCTTGTTCGTTAAATGCATATTTAAGAATTCAGAGGATTACGTGTTAGTACGTGTTTTCAAAGCATCGTGCCTCCTCGCATGTTTGCGCATTTTAATCGTTGTTAAAAGTCACATATCAAGTATGCTTGAGTATGAGTAAAATTATTAATTATTATCATATAAAAAGCTTCGTTAGAGTAAAATGGCGTAATCCAGATCAGATCAGACCAATCCAGAACAAATCTGGCATACCGAAATCTACACGTAATTAGAATGGCATATCTTTAATAAATATGTATTAATAAAGTTATTCAAAATGTAAAATATAAAAAGGTGTATTATTTATACTAAGAAAAATATCAGTCTGCACAAGTAGATATATGCAATTAAAATAAATATAATTTTTAAATGAAAATTCTATTTGTGGCTTCTGATATAAATTATTAACCTACTGTGTGCATTCAGTGGTGTTTTTTAAGTAAAATTAAAATAATTACATTATCTGAATATTCAATTGAAACGATAGAGGCGGTAAATAAGGGTATTGATTAACATAACGGAAATCATTGTAAAATATTTACACAAATGTTTTGATTTCGAGGTATACGTACTTACCTCTTAATGCTATACTGTTGAAATCCGAAATAACATTAGTTTACCCAACGAATCGCAATGTCGCGAATGTTACTAGTCGCCTTGCAGCAACCACGACCGTGAATAAGTTGCAAAATAACAAAGGAGCGTGATGCAGATGCGAGTATACACAGGGTCTTTCTTTAGGTCCACTGCCGGCAGTGGCGGCCGAGATCGGCCACAGGAGCGTTAAGGCACTTGGCTGGCACACAACACGCGCGGACGCACCACAACTACGTAGTACGCACCTCTCTCCCGCGCCCACTGCTGCTTCTTCTGCTGGACTAACGATGCCGGCTTGCTCACTGACAGCATCGCACCTTAGTATACATTACACTTTCTAATGCCTCGTATTGCACACACGTTGTATTTCTTCCAACCGCAGCGCAGTTACGGTGCACCGGCTAATGAGGGCTGCGGAATGCTTTTTAAAAACAGACGCTCGCGCATTGCCTCCGGTGGGCGCGCGTCTCGCTTGGCTTCACGCGTGCACTCATTGTCCACAGCGACTGGACTCGCACTCCACAATACCGATACGTATTTATTGTCAGGCTTTTGATTTTTGTAAATCCTAGAACACCATGCAATCATGCATGTGCTTTCTACGTTAGTGATTAAATATACATTTCGGGTCAGACGGTGAACAACCTGAACATGTAGAACGGGTCTAGACTTCAGTTGCCTTTCAGAAGGCGACACGCGAATGAGTTTCAGGGAAAAGCCTTGGAAAAGCCGCCGGTCGATACAGTAGTCATGGTAACGTTTGTTTCACGTGCTCGCAAGGAGTTAAGGCATTTTTTCCTATTTGCATTTTAGGCCATGAGGTGACGATAACAATATGTGGGACAGATTAATCAACACAGTAATCAGTACTTATTGATCAAAGTAGTGTTAATTAAATATTTGTATTACGAAAGTATATTTATTTATTTCCTTACAGTTTACTCTTAAGAGTTATATACTTGAAAGTTTGGATTAAATATTCAGTTTGTCTTCTAGTACCTATTAGTTAGATATGTGGCGAGGAGAGAGCCATTTTGGAATGACATCATCTAAGAAAATCACGTCGACGCACGTTACGATTGTGATAAGTAGCTACTATCCACACAAAATCTGTTCATTGAATAAAATCGAGGAATCTCTCTGTGCAGTCATTTGTATGCACGCTACGGCAGCGCAAAACATACTATGAATAAACACCGATTTTTGCATACATTGTATTAGATTTGTATGAATATTTGCTTTCCTTGCAAAGATGCTGTAGGTAAGTACCAGTTTATGGTAATGCTAGAAACACCATTTGTCTCACACAGCGTACTAACATATACAAGGTGTTACATAAACGGGTACTTAGTTATATTTTAGGAGCGTTACGTATAACCCGACAGATTTTTAATTGGTGTTAAAATAATGTTTTTCCAGGTCAATATTCATGTTAGTACTTACTTTCAATGTGGTTTGGTGGTTTATTTTATTGGGTACATATAATTAACATCCTTGGTAGGTATTAAAATATTCATTTTTTCAGTAATACCGGTCGTCTCTCTCTACGAAATATATATTACGCAACTTAAATTTTTAAAAGCGAACGAATTCGTTTTTGAATCCTTATTGATACGTGTTCAGTAGGCGCACATTTTTCTTGTAATATAAAAAGTTACTTAGTAGTATAAAAAGTTGGAGTAAACGGATGAAATAGAATACAATAAAATAAGGAAAGAATATGAGCATTCCGTCGAAGGCGAATTGAGAGCCACTTAAGCTGGTTACGACATTCAGATACATGATCATATCTGCGAGACGCCACGCCGCTTCCTACTACGTCGAGTGTTGTGGGTTCAAACCCCTCATGGGAAGACACTTTGTGTGATCCACAAATTGTTGTTTTGAGTCTGGGTGTTCTTTGTGTCCGTTTCAATTATGTTTGGAAAGTCCCCCGCAACACAGGATATATTCCTTATGCGGGAGTTGTCTTAAAAAAAAAAACATGATGTTCGGTAATTGTGACCAGTCTATTCTTGATACCATCCCGGGACTGCCCACAACAATCAGTTGGGTCTTAGACGGATTCACTACAACTCCATATTCATTGCTCCAGTCACACACGCGCGCCAGGTCTAGACTGATAGTTGAAAAGGCTTCAGGTAATTGATGTAACGGTGCTTGTGTATATACCATAGGTGGCCAAATTAATAGGGACAGTGCTCGTATTTATGTAATTTATAGTTTATTATATTTTTTTGAATAAATGATGTTGTTTTTAAGCGGTTATTGTATCTGATATATTTACTGGTATCATTATTATTGTTTTTGTCAAATGGCAACACAGAATACGTGCGTTTTTTATCAATTGTGGGACGTTTCTTCTTTGCCCGTAAAAAGCGCGGTTTTCGGTATTATTGTTGTATTGTCTAGGTATTATTTTTTCATTAGTTTTAACCGACTTTTGTGTCTTTATTAATCAAAAGGTAAGTAATGCTCCGTATAAGAATAGTTTTGCTACGTTTTGTCTATGAGTTTACATTTTATTAATGGTTCAACACGTTAACCCAAAATTATAAGCTTCTTAGGATGGGTAGGACTTTGGACACGTCTCCAAGAAAATGTAGAGAGATACAAACGTTGTTACTGCACTCCACACATTCTCAGAGAGACATAGCAGCTATTGCTGGGGTTCCAAAGTCTGTCGTCAATCGAATAAAAATAAAAATTGACAATAAAAAGCCTCTTGAAGCAAATCGTGCTGGCAAATGTGGCAGGAAAAGGATTACAACAGCTCGTACCGATTGAAAAATCAGGAACATCTGCCTCGAAAACCGTAAAAAGGGCGTTGCTCATTTAACAACTATGATAAACGAAGAGGGCATAAAGATTTCAGAGAGGACAATGCGGAGGCGGTTGGTCGAAAAGAATGTCATGGGAGTGCAGCCTGCCAAAAAAACACGCCTAACCGATAGTATGAAAAAGAAACGACTCCAATGGGATAGGCAACATCGATCTATGACTATTGCAGACTGGAGTCGAGTAAGTGCAACTATTTTGTATAATGCAATTGGTCAATAAAAATTTATTTATTTATTCTACTATTCATTCTATCAATTACAGGTGTGTTTTCCGACGAACCTACCTTCCAAATTTTGGTTGACAATAGTTATTTTATAAGACGACGTCCTGGTGAGAAATTTCACGCTGATTGTCTTGTACAGAAGGTTAAACACCCGGTTAGTGTCATGGTGTGGTCTGTCATCTTAGCCAAAGGCATGGGACGCCTATACATTGTGGAAGGGACTATGAAACAAGACCAATACAAGAGAGTACTAGAAACGCGATTATTGCCGCAGTTCAATGAATTGTTCCCTGATGATGACGAATACATTTTTATGCATGACTCAGCACCGTGCCACAAAGCCAGAAGTGTGACTGCATTTTTGGCTGAAAAAATGTCTCTGTTTTGCCTTTGCCAGGGAATTCACCAGACATGAATCCAATAGAAAACATGTGGGAACTCACCAAACGGGCGATCGCAAAAGAAGTGATTACCACTAAGCGACAATTGATTGAAACTCTCATCAGAGAATGGCATCACAACTCCAAACTCCAGGAAAATGCAAAAAAATGTATTGAGAGCATGCCCCGATGCATAGAAGCTCTTATTGCAGCAAAGGGTGGCATCACTAAATATAAAAAAATATTTTATTTATTTTTACCAATATTGATAATACTCATACGAAGAATATAAATCAGTTTTGTATATTTTTTTTGTAGTTTTTGTGATCCTTATAGAATACAGATACAAAGAAAAAATATATAAGAGACCTACAACTAATCGTTTGTTACAGAAATCCAATTAAACTAGGAAATTCAAAAATTTCGATACTGTCCCTAATAATTTGGCCACCTACTGTATTTGAAAATCATCTGCATACACCTTTATGCAGATGATTTTAGGATGGTAGGATGTAGGATGAGGCTAATGACTTAGTGATAGAGTTTATAAATATAGTGAAAAGTAAAGGAGATAAAACGCCACCCTTTGGGAATATAACTTGACCCAAGGAAAGAATTCACCGGGAGCAAGATCTGATATCGAATCGGGTGGGTGTGCAAGCAGTTGAAATCCCGTTTCTTAAGTACCAACCAATGCAACGTTGGTGTGTTATATTATTACTTTAAAGTCCCACGAACTTACTATAATACACAAGTAAACATACGACTACATAAATATTTTACAGAAATAATATCATCATGCTCACCCAGTACAAATAATTGTGTTATTTGTCCTGGGTGGGAATCGAACCCACGCACCCGCAATAAACATCATTAAGGGTATCAGCATACCCTCGGGATTTGCGAAACTTAAAAAACGTAGCAGCAAACATCTTCAAGTTTCGCAAATCCCAAGACCACCTCGCCGGTCGTCCTTTACCGGTAGTAAATAACGTCACGAATTTGCCCAATGTAAGAACAGACAAGGATTTTGTTAGGGAGTAGGTACCTAACCATACTTCCAGTTTGGTTCCATTCTTTAAAAATAAATAGCGCATGAAGAAGAAAACCTGTCTCACTTACCCGCGGCTACAATCAGGGCGGCATAAGGCGCTGGCAAGCGCGCCGACGACCAACGAGCCATCGTAGCTCGTAGAGCGTTCTCACGGAACTCGTGTACCTCTTGAGGCGGGGTCCGACTGCAGCTATCCGCGCGGAATTCAGTAGTCCGCCGATTTACTTCGGCGAGTACTTCCGCCTCCAAATCCCGAGGGGGAGTTCCGGCCAACACACACGTCGCCTCCGTCAACACGGTACGGTAACCGCATGTGCTCTAACCACCAATATCCACTGAAGTCGCCAGAGGCGTGCCTTATTCTGGGCGGTTAGAGTCGCGCCCACACCGGTGCACCGTACAGTGACATTGACCGGATAACCTTCGTGTACAGCCGTCTTGACACGACGCTGGCGTCAAGAATCAGGCCCAGATGCTTCATCTGGGCCTGAACCGGTACGAGGACCGAATCAACCACGATGGAGGTGCCAGGGGGCGGACCATGGAACTAGAGTGCCTCCGTCTTATCCACCAGGGCCTTCCTTTCTAGGGTATACCTGGTTCCCCGGCAATTAGTACCCGGCGAAGGCGTGCGGTTTTAGTCGGTTCGAGTCCGACATGCCACCGACAGGTGGTATCCGAGGGGATTTCCGCACGGAAAAAAAAAAAAAAAAAAGGGCCACCAGTAAGGCCAGCGCCTCAATGCGCAGATCACCCTGAGTGCGACCATCGTGTCATTGTCGGGGGTAGGGGGAGGCGACCTCGAAGGGCTCTTGAGTCGTATCCCATGTTCTCTTGCGTCCGTCCCGAGAGAACCCCAAGCAATGGATTTTGCGTTGAAGTCCCCCAGCTCAAATACGCTGCATCGAGGTCGCCAAGTTGTTGAGGACAGCAGCAACATATCCAGAGCCCTTCTTTTAACGACAAGGGCGAGGAATGAACCGCCGTAGAACTGAAGAATGCCACGGTGCCGTCCTAGTCACCCAACCAGTTTGGACGAGGAGGAACATAATAGGGCCACACCGATCAACACCTGTGCCATTGTTTGCAGGAAGAGATCCTGCGCACCGGCAGTGGTTCAGGTTCGTCTAGATAAAGAGGTTGGAGACTTGGTTCATTACTGGGCCGTCTACAACCTCCTCCATGGGCGACGACGACGACGCACGAACGACGTCGGAGGCAGCCTGGGTCGACTGGCTAACTCCCGATGTTTGCCGAGAATTGCGGGAGGCTTGAAGCCTACTCTATTTGGCGTTGGCGGGAATGTTACCCGCCGCACACACTGGGTCAAAAAAACTTTCACAACTTGCAAGATTGGGGCTCATGTTCCCTCTAGGTTATATCCCTATGCATAATATAGTATTGTCAATTAGTGCTGCCAATTTATAAAGTCAAGAAACTAATGATTACTTTATGATTAGAAAGCGAATTATAATGAATATATATGGTAATGGTTAGATAACGCGGTATTTTGTAATTTGCAAAGAAACTAATCAACCAATCTCATTTTATTTCTTTGTACTATTTGAAGTCTTTGTTCCCACGAAAGGATCCGCGTTGAAATGAAATGTCATGTAATCGTAACGTCAACGGATAAAAAAAGAAAATGCAGATTCGGATTTTATTCGTGATCTGATGAGTTTCAAGAGACAGGCAACGGAACTAGGGCCGGATTAGCCATGTCGAAGCCCTTAGGCAATGCAATCCTCGGGTCCCTTTTTTTAACAGTCAGCTCCTTGCAAGTCGATTAAGGGTTGTGAGTAATTGCATCAGCAGCATCATCTGACTGATGCGTAACTCCTCGGCAACTAATAGCAAGCGAGGCCCCCAACTGATGAGACGCCCCTAGGCAGTTGCAGGTTAATCCGACCCGGTTAACTCTTCAAATAAAACAGCAAATCAACCGTGATTGCTGCTAGGTTGTTAGTTCACTTAGTATTGTTTGAAGTCGGTTCAACTTTTTTTTTTAAAAAGGATTTATATATTATAATATAAAATCCTTATTAAAAACATTACTTCTCTATACTAATATTATAAAGCAGAAGAGTTTGTTTGTTTGTTTATATCTAATGCTAATCTCAGGAACTACTGGTCCGATTTGAAAAATTCTTTCAGTGTTAGATAGCCCATTTATCGAGGAAGGCTATAGGCTATATATCATCACGCTAAGAAGAATAGGAGCGGAGCACCAATGAAGAATGTTTCAAAAACGGAGAAAATTTATTACTATTGAGAGACGCAGACGAAGTTGCGCGGGTCAGCTAGTTATTGATAAATAGCGGTCAGTCCGGGTTTCGCACGGGTGCAATGATGGGGGCTCTACACAAATCCGAGGCCTTGTTCTTTCATGGGCCTCGGAGGAAGCCAACTGAGGAATCCAGCCTCATAGTAGGAAGCACTCGCATCGGCATCTAGCCCTCGATGAGGTATGCTCAACATGAGGGGACCGATGACTTTTGCAGGAGATTACTCGGAGATTGTGCAGTGGCGCAAGGAGTCCTAAGACTCGAGAAATCGAGGACAAGAGATCCCAATGCTGCCAGGCCCTCGTTGAGGGGTGGCAGGAACGACTTGGGCAACCGAGCATCGGGCACGCCGTTAAGAACCGTTTTGGAGGATCGGCTCGAGGGGCATCACGGAACCCTCATACCCATTGACGCAGGTGATCACCGGGAAAGGATGCTAAGGAGATCATCTTGTCTGATCCGCAAGGAGCCAACGCCTGAGTGCCATCACTACGATGGCCGGACCGTGGACATGGCGTGTGGAGCAGAAGCGTGAAATTCCGTCGTCTCTTTCTGCAAGCAAGTTATGCTTGCGAAGTAGATGGCGTTGCGGGACCAGGAGAGGTTTAGTACTCTTCCGGCCCACGAGGCCCGGGAACGGGCCAGGTACCGCAACGACTCAGGCGCCGGACGTCGCAGTACGACCTTTGTCCTCCATAAGCGTTCAATGATGGATACTAATAATACTGCTGATGTGGTGTAAGTGCAGAGTATTATTTATATTATTATTACTAGCTGACCCGGCAAATATTTTGCCATGTACACTATTTTTTCAATGCCACATCATAAATAAAAAGATTTAGGGCTGGGTCACCCTTATCATTTAGAGGTATGAAAAATGGATGTTGGCCGATTCTCAGACCAACCCTATATGACACAAAATTTCCTAAAAATCGGTCCAGCCGTTTGGAGTTTGGCAACAAACATCGCGACACGAGAATTTTATATATTATATGAAAATACTACTACAAGAGGACACCTTTATATGCACTGCTGAACGAAAGCCTCACTAACGAGCGAAAACCATCCCGGGTCTTAGTGTTGAATAAAATAATTTATTTATTTGAATCATTTTTAATACTTATATCTAATTAATACGAACGCCAACTTAAAACGCATATCTAGTTCTAATATCTTCCAACTTTTTTGACACTTCGGCAGATGTTCTCTCCAAGTCCCCGGCAATCGACTTTTGTTTGGCAGGTTCCAAGGAGTTAAACTGTTCACACAGATCCCCATCTATCACATTCTGCAACAAAAAAGTAGCAATTTACAGAAGAGGAAATAATTATTTTTTTATATGTATAATTGTATCCTATAAGAAAGATAAAAATGTACGTTCCAAAAACTACAGTAGCGCTATGTTTTGGCGCGTCCCGACTCTCAGGAACTCGGGGAGCGGTAGTGGCGCCGGACCGCCAAAACGACGAGTGCTAGCGCCACACAAGCGCTCGCCTTTCTCTACCGACAGTGTAACACAAATGCGCTCTTAGAGAACACATCTGCTGACTAACGATCGGATGTCGTATACTTACCTCTTATAATATTAGAGGAAGGTTTTCCATGATCATGGTAATTATGGACAACCTTAGGTACGTTATTTGTGCTGTTGGTATCCAAACAAAAAAAATAATTTTGTCGACATTTTGCTATTGATACTTACTTTTACTGGATAATAGTAACTCCTAAATGACAAATGGTCACGCCCGCACAACGGTGAGTTTTCACTTCGCATGTGCATTTCCAGATGTTGGAAAAAGTCGTGGTCTTCTCTAGATGTAAATGGAAGTAAGACTCCGAGGGAACCACTGATAGTAGCATACAAAAGTGCCTCAGAGCCACCAGGAATAAGTGTAGCTCGTTGCAACGACGTTACCGTTTCTCCGACGTGGAAATTGACGCTGATGTCACCCTTCTGAGAGGCTCCATTGAGAAGACCTGAAGTCAAAACTGTACTTTAGAAACAAAGCATGCTTGAGGAAAAATTAAGCCTGATAACAATACTGTCAGATAAGAGTAAATAATCATTATTTTCATTAGTCTAGCATGTATATAATTTTGTATCATCATATTACAGTTTTAAAATAGTAAATTCTGTATGATTTTTTTACCTCTGTCCCAGAGGGCTTTGTTTCCAGTTGGATCTTCGTCAACATCATCAGTTACTGATTGTGGCAGTCTCATTACAGCTATATTACCAAATTTATCAGACATAGCTACAGTATCATAGTCTAGTATGCAACTGTTAGTTATCCATCTGGGGTTTGTATCATCGGCAAATATGATTAATTGATTTTCCCGCTTTTTGTACTTGAGACAAAATACAGATTCTTGAACATCAGAAGCGAATATTCGTTGGCCAATAGTTTTGATATCTGCTATAAGGTTTGGAATGTGTCTATTTTCACATTTACGCAATAGTTTTCGTCTGCCAATATCATACAATCTTAACATGCGACCAACTCCCGCCAAAAGCTTTCCGTTGAATGCTGCTAATGCACCAGGATATTCATCAATAGGTGTTTTGTGGACCAACTCTAGCTTGCCAGTATTGCCATATATCTGGAAGATTTAAAAGTTAAATAAATATTGCAAGAAGGTCAACTAATACAAAAATTAAAAAAAAAATGTAATATCAGATCTGGTTAAGCATTCGTCAACGTCTTTCAGATGAAACACGGAGCATATTGTTGACATCATGAAAAATAATACAAAAAACAGTGTGGGATGTTAGAATTTATTAAATTATTTACCTTATAAACATGTAAACTGCCTTCTGTACAAGATCTTGGTGAAAGAATCATTTCCTTAGCAACACCCACAACTAAGTGAGGTTGAGCATGTTCAGCATGGGCTGACCATCGCACAATACAAACAGATACGGCGGCTTCATTTTGTTCCAAAGGTAATTTGAATAAAGTAGTTGGTTGTCCAGCACTGGTTCCCATATCAACCACGCGAATTTGAGACGCCCACATACCTAAAAGTCATAGTACAAAATAAAAAACATTGTCTATGGATTTTCATTTTACATAGTTCTGTAGTAAAATATTTGATTGTCTCCCTAACTTGAATCAAATGACTCACATTGTAGTCATCTGGGATTAACGTTGGGATTTAATATCGCCACATCCGATTAGAGTCAGTAAGCTCAATGACATTTTCTGCTCTTGCCCAGAAGATGTGGCTTATTTAATAAAGGTGAATATATAACAAACATGCTTACCTGCTCCAGCCTTAGGTGATGAGAATACATTTTCAGGTAATGTGTCAGATAGAAATGCATCAGCCATTTCATTTGCAAGCTGTTGATCTTCAGGGCCACCACCGGCAGCTGCCTCACGCATCTCTTGTGCCATTTGAATCCTGGATTAAAAAGAACATCTTTAGTAATTGTACTATTGTTGTGCTACTACGCTTTTTTGAGTTGTAAATTAAGTCAGTACTGCAGGTTTATCTACATTGATTTCAGGTTTTGTGTGTTATTTGTCATCATTTGAATTTTAATATGATAACCAGCCATTTCTATTGAATTCACCAGCAGTATGATGGTTAACAAAAATGGATTAACTTTCATAATATTAATATGGATAAGTCACCTTCTCTGTTTCTTCATTTCTTCAGTGTAAGAGTTATGATCAGTTTCAAGTATGAAAATGTGATTGTTGTCTGTATTGACGACGAATTTCCGCGGAGTATATTCCAGGGGTAAGTAGGTTTGGTTGAATACAGCACCAAGCTTCTCCAAGGCTAAAATTCTAAGTGTATTTGATGAGATTGCTACTATACCCTCAGCACATTGTTCTGCAATACAAAGAGAGATTGGTAAGTATTGTTTTTGAATAACTTTTATATAATATTCAATAGACATAAAGAGATGTATGTCCACGGCATGGTTTTGCCGCCTTCATCGCCTGAACGACTCCAGCTTGGCTATGGAATATGCCGAGTGCCTCGCTCTACCGCAAGCGGGAGCGACACATGCTCTACGACGTTGTGGGCCTTTCACTGCATGGGGCAGCTACACACCACTTATGCATGGTCCGACTCAAAGAGTCAAACCATGCATTAACGTCGAAAATTTCATGTTGATTTATATGAAAATACTTATCCATGAAAAGAATATTTAAAAACTCATTGCAGAAAATTTCGTATTCTTTGAAAATTATACTAGTGTTAGAAGTTAATAATATTAGTCATTGACCTACCTGAGCTAAAACCAGCTGCATACTCTAAACATTCATAAGAAAGTGGGGTAAGATGAAATCGATTTTGATAGTGGTATCCTAACCAAGTCCTTGATGACACTGCTAACACAGCTTCTGCTGCTTGCACACGCACTTTGAAGAGCTTTACAGGTCTTGAGCCCAAATACCTATAAAATAAAAAAGGCCTGTTTACAACTGCAAAGAATAAAAGTAAATTTTAATTTCAATTCTTTTCTCAGATCTGGTTAAGTGATCATCAATATTATACAGTAGTAATAAGGAGCGAAATTTTTTATCATCATTGAGGGATATTTAGTGACTTGTTAATTGCAATATTTAAGAAATATACCTGGTCCTCGTATCAGCTAAGTCACCACTGACTGAGTCTAACGTCGTTCTTAATAATACACCATTGCTCAAGCCAATATTTAATTGCAAAGCTGATTTTGCTCCAGATTCAAAAGGCTGTTCCACAATGCATAACGACTCAGCTCCTGCTGGTAAAGCTTGCATTGAACGTGGCGATAAACAATCCTGTAAATAAAATAATCCTTAAACCTACAATTTCTTTAACATACACAGGTGTACGTACATTGCTTACAATAATATCAGGAGTTTGAGAATAACGCATTTTTGGGTTGTTGTAATCAAAACAGGTCAGTGGTGTCCTTGTGTCATCATTTTAGTAAGTAGTTATAATTTTTTATATTAAACTTAAATGGTTTTTACCGAAGGATCCAATGAGATGATTCTGACAGTGTTGTCATTTAACCCTACAGCCAAGAACCACGCCCTTTGCTCGCCAGTGGCCACAGATCCCAAAGCCATGCATGATACATCTGATGATAGTTTCTTTCTTTCGGTATATTCATTGAGTTGACCAGTCTGAAAACGACAAAAAACGATTTAAATGAAAGGATATAACACAAAAGTACACATATTATTCAGTTTCTGAACATAGTTTTTCTTTAGTTACAGAACACAGCTTGCATACAGCATTAAAGTTTATACCTAATGCAAAATTATTCCCTAATTAAGAGAACAAATAAACTACATTAAAAATAAGTTTTTGAATTTAAACTTGCAGATTATACTGATATATTATAATTTTAATTATACTATTACAGATAATGTTTAAAAAAACTAATCAATGAGAAATTAAAGACTGCTATGCGTAATGGAATAAGTTTAATCAATATAGTATGAATGTCCACGGCATGGTTTTGCCGCCTTCATCGCCTGAACGACTCCAGCATGGCTATGGAATATGTCGAGGGCTTCGCTCTACCGCAAGCGGGAGCGAAACATGCTCTACGACGTTGTGGGTCTTTCACTGCATGGGGCAGCTACACACCACTCATGCATGGACTTACTCAAAAAGTCAATCCATGCAATAACGTCGATAAACCAGTATAATATTTGATTTGTATACTTACAGGGTCCATTTCAAAATAGACTAGTTCGCCTCCAGTTAGTGCAATAACTACTTGTCTTTGATTAACTGCACATTTTACTATAGATTTTTTTCCAGGTGCTTTCCACTCATTCACACGTTTGTCAGCACGTATATGCCTGATGCCATCTGGATATACTTGAACAAGGGCGTCGTTCCCAAGAGCGTGACAGCTGAGCGTGGGTGTTGTGCCCAAGAAACCAGAGTCCGTCACTTCCTCAACTGTCTCACCAATAGACAGCACAAGTGTAGCGTTAACGAACGACACAATGATGTAAGAATCATATTCCTCTGCAACCAAGAGAAAAAATCTAATATAAAATATAATCAAACAGCAGATGTCAATATATTGCAGTCTTCTGATGTTGGCAGCTTCCAGTTTTGTTACACAGCATTTGATGCCTACCTTTGTGTGTTTGCTGAAACCATCTCTATTCGTTCATCAGCCGATAGTAGGTTCTGAAAAGAAAAACCACTGGTGTTTATGTATGACAAACATCCAGGGTTTTATTAGTAAGTTGTTGATAAAGAGGAGCATTCATAAGTGGTTATTGATAGCGTCACAGTAATTCAGTAACACGGACCAAAACATATAATCATTACGCTCCATTGTCCTTTTTCTCATATGGCATTAATTACTATGTAATGTCTGGCATGTTCCATGCACAAGAGATCTAGTATCCTTTGACAAGAAATAGCCTTACCTCTGTCTAATACTATAGAGCGAGAAGATAACTTCTCAAAGTCAAAGTTTCATAAAACTGTTTTGGAGTGATTTAATTTTTATCTTGCATCAAAACCATTATTTTCCTCATTAATTATGTGAGAACTACACCCTACTAATCATCACATCTTACAAAAGGGGATCGAACCAAATTGTATTATTTATTGTTCACTGCCACAACTTAAATCTGGAAGTTGTAAACCATTTAGGCTGATTTTATTTATATTGATTATAGAATAACTCACCATCCTTATGCCGTCTAACAGTCCATACTGCATTAGGTGAACCAGGTAACTCTGATACAGCCATTTCAGCAACTTCTAAACCATGTCTTAAGGCTCTCAAAGAAGACCTGGGTCCACGACCACATGCCAAATAAACTTGAGGGGTATCTTCACCAGCCAAGTCGGCTACACGGCAAGCTATAACGGCAAATTATCAAAATGATTAGAATATTGTTAAACTTTCAAGGCATTAACCAAGCTTTGACAGTTCTGAGGTATTAAGTTAACACAAATGGTTAAAAAATTACCTAATATTGGTGATAATGAATCTAGTTCGTCCACGAGGACCAGATTTCTCAGCGGCCTTGGTGCAAAGAAGAATGTGTCCCCTTCTTCTAAAGGCATTGCTGAACTGAATTCTGGCTCATCATCTTCATCACCCAAATGAGCAATTTGATACAAGTAGCTGAAATAAAACAATTAGATTATAGTAACTTAATTGATCACATACCAGTCAAAGGATCTAAGTAGTTTATTATGTTTTTAATGTTATTCTCGCATCAGTGTGCTCACCCTCATAAAAAGGGAGGACCTTGGTTCGGAGATTATTTTTCTAGCATGATAATTAGAAAATGGAGCACTAAAACTCAATTTTAAGTAAATAACATGCATAACTAAACACAATTTTTAAGTTATACTTACTGGTTGCCAAATTCACAAGCCACAAACAGAAATCCTGTTTTGAGGACACACATTGCTGTGGAGACTGGTACAGTATCAAAATACTTCAACTTTATTTCTGTTACCATGTCATCATCAGTCTCAATTGTTATTTTAAAAATATCTCCTTGTTCAGTTTGTGCTAAGAAAAAGAACATTGACTTGGTCTTGTGAGTTGCTGAGCAGACAAATATCATGCCTCTTTCTGGATCATCTAGATCATTTCGTCGCCGAGGGATAGGACATCTAATGTCATGTTGGTCACCCAAATTTTTATAGGTTAAGTAGTTTTCAGAGCAAATAAGTACCCCTGAGGGTCCATCATTGCCCCCTGGCACTGTTATAAGGAAGTTGGCATGCTCTTCTAGAGGTTCAGAGTATTTTCTTACTACATGGTTCAAACCCAAATCAAGTTCATAAAATGTTAAAGTTTGTTGTGTTTTTTGTGCAGCTTCACCTGAAAATGAGACTGCTGATAAATGCCTAGCACTAGTACAGTATAAGAAAAGTTGGTTGAGTTTAAAATCATTTAAAGAGGATTTAGCGTCACTGTCAGTCAGAAACACGGACCTCAGAATAATCATGGTATGTAGGTTATTTGGAAGTTGTGGTCAATCAATAGCAGTATACTTATTCATCACTCATAAATTGCATAACTTGTAAAAAATAGATAAATAAATCAATAGAAGTAACAATTGGCAGCTTTTAACATATTAAACACTTTCTTACAAAAGACCATTGTATAGAAAAAAAATACTTTGTAAATACTCAAGCATTTGGATATTTTTACATACCTGTAGGATCAGAATCAGCTTCTTCATAATCAATTTCCAAGCAAGCAAACATTGGATTTTCGAAGCCTACATCCACACCTACCATATGGTATACCAGTGTGTTAGATTTATGTGCTTCTAAAGGAGATGAAATAGTTAATCTGGCCTCAGCATCTCTGTTCAATATGTAGACAAGTTTCTGTTTTTCAGTAGCACCTACAATAAAAAAGGAGTTCTAGTAAAGTCATGATACATTTGCAGTTATGATTATTTTAATAAACAAGGCAATCCTGTTTTATTCTACGTACTAATCTAATCACTTGAATTATCAAATAACTAATGCAGTAATAATAGTAACTCCATACATCTCCCACACCTGGTCCTTAATTAGACAGAGTGTATACTATGGTTACCAGATTGCTGAAAAAAATGTGTGCATAATATAAATAAATTACACACAGATACAGGCTAAATGATTGTGCTCATCACACAATTATTTGTCCTGCGGTGGGAATTGAACCCACAACCTCCAGCTAAGCAGTTAGGATGACTAAATCCGACGGTCAATTACAATCTTTTTAATTGACAGTGCCCACACGGCATAAATTCCGTGTCACAGGGGACTTCACAAATATACAACTGACACAAAGAACACCCCGACTCAGAACAACAATTTGTGGATCACACAGTGTTGTCCCATGTGGGGATCGAACCCACAACACTCAGCATAGCAGGAAGCAGCGAGGTGACCGCTTTAACCACTACTCCATGCTTGTAGTCACATAGAGGTATAGATTAACAATACACTGAAATATCACAGTAAAGACTTACCAATCATGACAGCTCGTCCCTTCGGATCAATGGCTAAGTATTGGCCAGGTACAATGCGTCTGCATCCTGACTTTCCAAATGTTTCTTGATGTACTTTTTCGAGAATGTTTTTCTTAGGAATATACTCCAATATCACAATGCGACCAGAATCAGAGCCAATGACTATGTAATCTGTAAATCACAATAACTGTTTTAATTAAATCGGAATTCAGAATTAAATATGTAGTACTAATAAATATAGTATTATTGTGCCACAGCGGAACACCTGTCCAACCATAAGGATTGATCAGAGCGACGCTTTGGATATCAGTCTATGCATCTAGTTATCCCAGGCAGTTGATCGTCAAGTGCATGGAGCAAGACGATGCAACATTTGAAAACATGTAATACGACATGCATAGTTACTTAAACTATGCTCTATACGAGTTACCCATGAGGTTATAACCTTCGCCCACGTGGTCATTACATTTTACTTTACCTTTTGTGCCTCCTGTAAGTCTAAATGACATCATAGATCGAATAACACCAAAGATTTCGACTTTCATTAGGGTATGCACTTTGCCGGTGTTCGGATCAGGTCGCAGCAGTTCCAAAGTCTTGCCACGAGATATAACTATCTCCTGCTGTTTTGAGCCAGAAAAGTTTCCATGCACTGCATGTGTGATGCATGATGAACCTTGCAAAGTCAAATTGTAGAGATACATCTTTGCGGCTTTATCCTAACCCTGCAAGAAGTATATATTATTAGCACTGATGTTACAGTCACATAGGCACCGAGTTTAAATCAAATGTAATGTAACGCTCGTAACTAACGAAAACAGAGAGAGGCTTGTGTTTCCGAATGGGTGAGCTTATCATAATTTAGCACTGAAAAACGACCACGATCAATATAAATCAACCGTGGAGATACCATGTAGTGCATAATAAATATTATACAATTTAAGATATAGATATACGAAATGTACTAATTTGAAACGTACCTTTAATGTAATGAAGCAGATTGCCGCAATGCGGCTTGATATTATAATCGTATCCAGTTTCTCCTCGACAGACAACTGTCGGCAAAATGGCGGAATGGACGAGTGGTACCATTTCACACTACTAAGACGATCAACCAATCAAAAGAAAGCATTTTGTAGCAAGCATTCCGTTTTATATTGCTGGGGTTGCCAGATTTTGGAAAACCTATAAACTATGAGCGCCACCTATTGTCGAATAGAAATACTACTTTATTAAAATATACCACAAGATGGCGTGGCATTAATTGGAAAAGTGTAATATGCACACTTTTCCTGCAAAATAGCTGTTTATATCAATATATAGATGACACTAGTATGTTAATGTATAGAAGTGTTTTTTGTAAATGAGGACTTAATGTACAAAGTAAAAAATTAAGACAAACAACATTTCGACAATTTCAAAACTAAAATGATTTAAAATACTAAAAGTATGTTTAATTAAGTTAACAATACAGGTGATACAAGAGAATACCTAGTAAGTTTAAATTTATTAGTTTTAACATAATATTATCAGGATAGTTAATATACTTATTTGCTGGCAGCGGCCCTGACTAAAACGGTGGTCAATTAAATACATAGGAAGAGAGAATCTACTACTATTACTACTACTATACTATTGGTAAGTACCTATAGATGTTGAATAAAATAATGATTTCGAAAACCTTATAGGTAGGTACTTGGCTTATTTAATACCTAGGGTATACCCGATTCACCGTGTGGTTTTAGTTGGATTGGATTGATTTCGATTTAGATATACTTTAGCGTGAGCCCTGGGGAGGTGATGACCCGTCGGAGTTTCTACACGAAAAAAATATTACCCATAATATGAGTTTTATCACAAATTATGAGTCACTCACTAAGAACATTGTATAATGAGCAAATTCTATTGAATTACTACTCCTGGCACCTTGGATTAGTTTACAAATTGTAAAAGTATATTTTAAAAAATAAAGGAAATTGGTTATAAGTTACGAAATGTTTATTTATTATAGATAGAGAATAGGAAACTCATTGATGAGTTTACTTTTTATCAATTAATATTAATTCGTTTGTTGCTAAGTGGCATGGGAACACTAGTTGAGTTCTAAAGTTTGTGGCAAAATACATTTTTTGCTTTAAACAATTTGCACACACGTACATACATTTTTTTTTCGGATATAGGTACGATAGTTTCGTTACGGTTACGGAGTTCCAAACCACGATTAATACTTGAAAAATATTTAACCCCCATAGCCTATTTCATCTCGTCCTATTTTATTTTTGCAACAAAGGAAAGCCTTTGTCCTTCTCCAAGGTCCCGTCAATCGTTAAACCAAAATTCGTTTAAATGACAAAGCGGTTAGGCGTAAAAACCTAAGAGATGGAATTCATTTTTAATTTATAATATTAGTATATCTCATTTATAATATAGGATAACAATTTATGTTTACGATTAAATGTGATTTATGTCTTTATTTTCAAATTATGAATGCTGCATTTCAGGTGCATTCCAGTTACATATAAGTTATAACACAGAAGCTATTTCAACTTCAAGTTAAGTTCAGTTCAGTAAGGTAGACCAAATAGAGAAAAAATATAGTTTCTCTAATGCCATATTATTGGAACGAAGTTCCTTATCGCGGTACACACTCTGAGCGGATCGGAACAAACCTAAAAAATGTGTAACAAGACTTTTTTCCAAAACTTCAGTTGGCGCATCGACACACATATTTCATATTATATTAGGAAACGTCTACCAAAAAGCAAAAGGAACTTCGTTCTGACGAGGGCTCCATAGACCATAGAAGTATTTAAAATATATATATTGTGACTATATATTATTATAGTAGGTACAATAGGCAACACTTGGCACGAAAAGTATAGAGAAAGGACTGTTTCTTAATGATCGAATATTATTCTTACTTCATTGGAATTGAAATAGAACATATAAAAATCGAAAAAAATAATATAAAAGAAATTACTGACAAACTTAAAGGCGACTTATGTTTGAAATGTTAATTTAGAAAATGACGTCATCAAGTAACGGCCAACCAACGATTGGTAGAAATGAAGAAGACGAATATTGAACATGTTAAATGAAATTGAATATTTCAATTCTGATTTTGATGACACAAACATCATATTAGTTTTATTTCTAGATTTGAATATGTGCTTGTGTATTTTTTGTCATAGATGCAAAAAGGAGTCTTATAAGTTTAAATTGTGTTTATGTCTATGTACGTTTTTGTCATCATAGCTTACAAAACTGCTGCCAATTCACATGAGTATGACTGTACTTAGTGTCGCAATAAAAACATAATTGAGGCGCCTCTAGATCCGGTTATTTGTTATCTTGGTCAGCCTATAACATACCGACCAATATCATTTTACCATATTACTTCTAAAGTGTATAATAAAATTAAATTTTTGAACTTCCTAGGGTATAACTAAGTCCCTTGCAATAGATCCTTTTGTGATGTGATTCCATTTGACACAAAAGGGGTTGTGATTTTATTGACAATCAATTTAATAAAACAAAATATTTAAGAAAAAAAAACTTGTTAACCACATACTCGTATGTTCGAACGTTCAATGTTTTTTCTGCTTGCCGGATCTCAGTTAAGACCTCTACCGTTAGTATGAGTTTTAACACTACGACGCAAAATATTTTTCGAGAACTCACACACACACACACACTATTTCATGGAAGTCATACCTCTCTGTGTGGTGACGGCTTAAAAATACGGAGTATCACCACCCCTTTTCATCCCATGTGTGCCATAAGAGTCCACTAAGGGAGAAAGCAATATACGCAGAACAAAAGCACTGCAAACAAGGAGACTTGACACAAACCCTATACCAATCCCTCTGGCCAGCGTTGTATAATAGGCCAAAACCTATGTCCAGCAGTAAACTGTTATAAGCTGTTGATGATTGATGTTACCTGTTTTAAACTTGTACAACTAAGGAACCACGAAGCGTGTTGTTCGTACTTTAACGAATGTTTCTACAATTGACGGGCCTGTTGGTTAGTGACCCTGACTGCTAAGCCGGAGGTCGTGGTTTCGATTCCCACCCAGTACAAATAATTGTGTGATGAGCACGATCATTTGTTCTGTGTCTGGGTGTAATTTATCTATATTATGTATGTATTTAGAAATATATAAGTATGTTTATCAGCAGTCTGATTACCGTAGTACAGGCTCTGCCTAGTTTGGGATCAGACGGCCGTGTGTGAGATGTGTGAAATTGTTATTATTATTATAGATAGATTGGAAATAGGCTACTTAACAAAACAATCGCAACACTAAGCTGTTGTATTCTATGAGGTCACGTCACATCTCCAACTATTATAGTACTTACAATAATCTGTATACTGTTAGGATAACTCAAAAACTTCTGCACTGATTGAGCTTAAATTTCGACACGATATATAAACCTATTCAAAGATGGTTTTTATTTATTTTTCACGTCAGTTTTGTTGTGCATTTCTCATCAATGCAACGACAACGTGCCGCAGCGAAGCGTGGCAGGGTACAACTAGTTTGTTTATATACAATTTTTGTTAGTTTGTTACTCTTTCACGCCTAACTACTTAGCAGATCATTATGAAAATCTCTACACTTACACGTTCTTAGAGTTAGAGAAAAGAAGAGCACCTTTCCCCAAAAAAATATACTGTTCATAAGGTAGATACAGAAAAAGTTAAATCAAAACACTTAATAAATAAGTCGTTATTGAGTAGTTTCAGGTTATGCTTAAGTCTTGAGATCCTGCATTTTATTCGATCGAACTAACTGTTATGGGGATTTTAAAAAAATCTCAGGAAACGGGCCCGGTAGATAGCGACGGGCTCGACCTTACTAGGGGAACAAAAACATGGTTGGTGTATAGTGGGCGTAAAATTCTTATATCTCTGAGATCTCTTTGAATGTCTATTCTTGTCTTGAACATAGGCTAAATTAATTTTAAAAGTGTGCATGTGTAAAAACGATATTTTATGCATATATATTCATAAATTTACAGCTTGTTTAACAATAAAATAATGAATTGTTTCGTTTCATTCTTAAGAACACCTGAGGTATATTTCGCTGGGATTTAAAATTCCAATATGTATTTGTGCTCGGTTGAAAGGCTTTGGTCCATTGTAGAGTGTCTTTTAATTCTATTTTCTGGCGGCGGCGGGCGCGGCGTCACAATGTATCAGTGCCGTAACGCGGTGCGAGCGCACCTGAGTATTCCAACTCGTTTGACTTTGAGAAGCCGCAGCTCATGAACGGTTCAATGAATCTTCTAAATCCATATTAAGTAATACTTGGTTTTTACACATTTTAGTACATTTCACCTATGTCTAAAAATAGCAACAGAACATAATAAATATATGTATCTATTTCTGTATACATATTGGTATTTTAAAGGTATGAGTAAAAAACAGGCGATGTTACTTTTGTGTTAGTAAACAAACTATGACAAGTAGTTACCGGTACTTAAAAATAATCCCAAGCATTAATATTATATTATATTTCAGTAAATAAGACATTTTGGAT